CGTTTTAAGCGTCTAATAAAGTAATATAACATGTAGTCTAAATTGATGTTATTACTGTCCATGATTTTACTAAGGAACGATTTACTAATGAATAAACATGTTTGACATACGTGCTGGACCAATATCTTTCACAAGATAAAATGGACCGGAATGAATAACCGAAGGAACTCTTCCTAAACTTATCGTTGTTTTCAATGTCCCCGAAGAGTCGGCACGAGGGTATGCCGGCGAACGGGACCCCCGAGGACTTGATTTTGGCGATACTTGTTCCGGACGTCTAATTGCTTCGTTCATACTGATACTGCCTCCATTTTGATTTAATTTGTCAACTCGTACTACAATATTTCGTAGGTTTTTGTAAATAAGTTGTTCGTACTTCGTTTCATTCGCGAAATATTGTTTAGGAGCTGTAAATAAATTTCAGAATCATTTGTGTAGCAAACAAAATATTAGATTGTTTGACGTGTGCCATATTCTTTTGTCAAAATTACAGATGAAATTGATTTTTTTTTTCAAAAAGAACTTGGTCCAAGTAATATTTTATGTCAAAAGTTGATTTTTTTCCTCAACTCATACATCTTTTTTTTGGTGTAAATTCTTCAGAATGAACATATATAATATTGTATATTACCTTTAAAGTCATATATGGCGTATGTTCTTTAAAGTTCAGACTAACTAAAATTAAAAAGATCTTTCCTTTTTTTTTTTATTATTTTATATATACAGATAGGATTTTCCTGTAAAGTACACATGCAATCACTTTTCAAAGATACTAGAAATTTAAAACAAATACCGATTTATTTTCCGACTCCGCATTTAAATAACAGACACAGTTTAAAGTCAATTTAACTATGGAAATAAGGGGTTATTCAAGTGCAAAATCGGTGAAAATTTTAATTTGAACGTAAATAACACAGTATCATGTTAATTTATCTACAATCAATCTCGTGTTTTTTTTTTTAAGTTCAGATACGTCATATATAGCTTTAAATAAATAATATGGTCCTTTCTCAGTAGTTGCAGATCGCTGGTCCAAAAATTGGGACTGATAAAAAAGGGACAAAGGGACATCAATCATTATTATTGAGGAGGTACGAGCGTAAATTAGCTATAGTTTTCTAAAGTATGATATATATAAGATAAGATAAGATTTATTGATACCAATTTTGGGCCCCTCAGGGCATACAAGTAAAGAATAATATGTCAAAGGTATAGTAATGGCTCTTCAAAAGGCATGATAACACCTTTTTGGAAAGGCTTAATAACGCCTTTAAGAAAGGCGCAATAACGCCTTTAAATTTTTTTTTCTCCATAGATTGATCCTAATAGGCTTTCGTAATATAATAACGTCTCACGATCTTTTTTTTTTTATTTGTTTGGTAGTGCCCCGCCCCCCCCCCCCCCAAAGGTGTCAGAGTTGTCAAAGGGTCAAAGTTGTTGTCACAAGAATTATGTAAAGTATGAAGGCCCTAGCACCAACCGTTCAAAAGTTATGACCAAGGTTAAAGTTTTCCAAAAGTAGGTCAAACTCCAAGGTCAAGGTCAAAGGGTCAAATTTGTTGGTATTCAAAGGAAGGTATTGTCACAAGGATTACATATGTGTGACAAAACATTTATTGACTGGGTTCGAGGGCAACATGCGTTTTGTCGGACCCAAGAACTAAACTGTTTGCCTGAAGCCGACCGGTAGGCCTCAGGCAAACAGTTTGGTTCGAGGGGTCGACAAAACGCATTTTTCCCTCGAATCCAGTCAATAAATGTTTTGTTATACCTTTTATTTATATATTTATTTTTCCATACAAGTATTTTGTGCTGATTTCCATGATGTAAATTTCCTTTACTTGCACTGCGGTAAAATTCGTTCAATTCTGTCACTGTCGAACACCAACGAATGCAAATAAGAATCAGTTCAATCGACAGGTCCAATATCTCACTCGATCAGCGGTCAAACATCGATTTTTTAAAATTTTTTTAATGACCGCTCAGTAAAACATTGGAATATGTTAAACTGGTTTTTTTTTTTAGTATAGAATGAGTTCTGGAAACCAGGTCGCATCCACTTTTAGAAAAAAATTGAAAATATTATCTTTTAGACAAAATATACATGTATTCATAATTTTATAGTTAAAGGAATACTGTTTATATGTTTTGTTCACTTAATATTAAAAAAAGTGACTTTATAAGAATCCATCAGAATCCACAAAAATGATACTCGTTTTAAAAACAATTTCTATCTTAGAAGAGAAGACACCTCTCCCAGATCCGAATTCCCCCTTTCAGAAATCTGTGTTGGAATTTTCATTTTCAAATTGGAGGCCCACTGGGAGACCAAAAACGGCGTTTCCTACAAAATTCGGTATGGCTTCCAGAACGCCTGTCACATTTAAACCATATCTAAATCTATAACAAGAGGCCCATGGGCCACATTTCTCAACTGAGCACTTTGGCTAGGAAAAAGCAAAAATCAGTTCAGTATTGAAAAGTTTAAATATAAAAGTGGTTCCGGGGGGAGGGGAGGGGGGGTATGATTTGAACGAAATTGAATCTACACAACCTAAAAATGCTTTTGAATTAATATGACTAATAATGGCTCAGCTGTTCTTAAAAAGAAGGGGGGAGGGGGTATGCTTTGAACAAACTTGAATCTACACCACCTAAGGATGCTTTTGAATTGATAGACTTACAATGGTTTTGCTGTTCTTAAGAAGAAATCTTAATTGATATATATTCCTTTGTATAGCTATGATCCCCTGTTATGGCCCCTCTATACTCCTGGGGGGGGGGTGTCATGATTTGAATCTACATTACCTGAGGATGCTTTTATTTTATTATGACCAATCACGGCCTTGCTGTTCTTTTAAAGATTTTTCCTATGTTTTCCTACGTAAAACTTTGATCGCCCACTGTGGCCCCATCCTACCCGAGGGTCATGATTTGAACAAACTTAAATCTACACTACCTGAGGATGCTTCCATATAAATATGACCAATTATGGCTTTGCTGTTCTTGAGAAGTAGATTTTTAAAGATTTTCCCTATGTATTCCTATGTAAAACTCTGATCACCCACTGTGGCCCCATCCTACCCCGGGGTCCACGATTTGAACAAACTTGAATCTACACTACCTGAAGCTGCTTCTAAATAAGTTTCATATTTTTTCTTATTTTCAAATGGTTCTTGAGAAGAAGATTTTTTTAAACGATGTCATTAATTTTTCTGTAATTCGTAACTATCTCCCCTTGAAGAAGGCATGACCCTCCATTTGAACAAACTTGAATCCCCTTTACCCAAGGACATTTTGTGGCAAGTTTGGTTGAAATTGGCCCAGTGGTTCTTGAGAAGAAGACGAAAATATGAAAAGTTTACAAGGACGACGACGACAGACAAATTTCGATCAGAGAACCTCATTTGAGCTTTCGGCTCAGTTTATCTAAAAAGTACTAAAAAATTTCCAACCCAGAAATTTCTTGTCAAAAAAAAAAAAAACAAAAAAAAAAAACAACTCCTTTCCCAAACGTATCGGTACAAGAAATTTCTTGACAAGCAAAAAGAAAAAAAAAGGTAAAATCGATTTCCCAAACGTGAAAAAACCAGAAGTCCCTGATGAGACTGTAGCTCTACTGGCTGTACTTATAAAGGAGATAAAAGTAGCACTTGGACTTGAAACTTTGCAACAGCAATAAATAGAATAATGATCCTTGGTTTAGTCTGTTTTTGTGGCAAGATTTATTGCAATCAGAATAAAACTGTAGGAGGAGTAGCCTTTTAAAAGAATTTTACAGAAATTTCGATTTAAGTAACCATGGCAACATCATTCACCAAAATCAAAGAGCAATAATGACAATTATGTATCTCAGTGTAGTCTACTTGTATGCCAAGTTATACTGATGTAGGAGAAGTAGCGTTTTCAAAGTATTTCAAAAAATTTCTATTTTAAGTAATTATGGCAATACCGTTCATCAAATTCCAAAACTGGTACAGAGAATTATGTATCTTAGTGTAGTCTACTTGTGTGTCAAGTTATAATAAATTAGACCAAAACTGTAGGAGGAGTAGCATTATGAAAGTATTTCAAGGAAATTTCTTTTTTTAGTAACCATGGCAACACCATTCATTGAAATCAAAAACGGATACACAGAATTATGTATCTTTGTGTAGTCTACTTGTGTGCTAAGTTATATTGAAATGAGATCAAAACTGTAGGAGGAGTAGCATTTTGAATGTATTTCACAGAAATTTCTATTTTTAGTAACCATGGCAACACTGTTCATTGAAATCAAAAACCGATATAAAGAATTATGTATCTTAGTATAGTCTATTTGTGTGCCAAGTTATAATGCAATCGGATCAAAACTGTAAGAGGAGTAGCGTTTTGAATGTTTTTCACAGACATTTCTATTTTTAGTAACCATGGCAACACCGTTCATTGAAATCAAAAACCGATACACAGAATTATGTATCTTAGTATAGTCTACTTGTGTGCCAAGTTATACTGATATCAGACCAAAACTGTAGGAGGAGTAGCATTTTGAATGTATTTCACAAAAATTTCTATTTTTAGTAACCATGGCAACACCGTTCATTGAAATCAAAAACCGACAAACAGAATTATGTATCTAAGTGTAGTCTACTTATTGAAATCAGACCAAAACTGTAGGAGGAGTAGCATTTTGAAAAAATGTTTACAGACGGACGGACGGACGAACAGACAGACAGACAGCTAGACAGACGGACGACGGACACCTTACTATCGCATAAGCTCTTCTGGTCTCTGACCAGTAGAGCTAAAAATACATGTACCTATTTCCTGATGGTGGTGGTGGTGGTGGGGTCCACGTTTTCTAGGGGAGGTCCAAAGTAATTTTTTATTTGCTTCAGTATATTCTTTTAATAACTCTGCAAATTCCAGGAGGAGTCTGGAACCCCCCCCCCCCGGACCCCCTCTGGAGATGGGAACAAAAAAATCTAATAATACAATCGAGTACGAAAACAAGGTGACTGAAGGTAGTTTATTTTATAATGCCAGCATTTTTGGCCAGTTCATGAAACAGACTCTTAGTGTCGGCCATCAGATTCTGTGGTGTGTCAGATTCCAGTAAACGACCATTGTCAAGAACCAAAATTCTATAAAATACATAAAAATTATATGAAAATTACATACAATCTTAGATAACTCAAGCATATCTATCTACAGTACCTAAACTAATTCAAACACGTCATTCTATTTTTCTATGTTTGACTGAAATACTTTTATGAGGCGCCGTTTTGGTATTTATTGCCATTTAGTGATATCAGCTATTCGAATAGGTGATATCACCTATACGAATAGGTGATATCACTTACTCGATTAAGTGATATCACTCATTCAAATTGAATAGGTGATATCACCTATTCGAATAGGTGATATCACTTAATCGAATAGCTGATATCACTTATAGTTGGTTGTGCCCCCAAAACTGAAATTGCCTCCTACGCCCCTGACATATATCAATACTCTGGACCTTTAATAGTAGACTCCTATATTTGTAATTATTTTATAGAATCCTCTGATGTTACTTTTTTATACCTGTCGTAGTCCATCACTGTGTTGATCCTGTGTGCGATGGTCAACACTGTACATTCCCGGAATTCTTCACGTATCGTCCTCTGTATCAGATCATCTGTCTCCAGGTCTACAGCAGCGGTGGCTTCATCCAGAATCAGAATTTTTGTTTTCCTCAACAGAGACCGCGCCAGACAAACCAACTGCTTTTGACCCACACTAGAAAAAAAAGCATTGCCAAATAATAAATTAATAATTATAACATACAGTAGTAATTTTCCCTTTTAGAAATATACCTTGCTTAAGATAAGGTGGGATTTGATCATAATTAGTAAGTTCTTATCTGTGTTCTTTCTCTTTGCTTTATTGTACTAGAAATAATACTTTCATAATGTTTTAAATTCACTCTTTGTATATTCTCACAATCTAACTGAAATTCTGTAGATTGTTCTCTTTGTTTATTCATACTGGAGGTAAAAAAGTCAAACTACATCCTTAATACTGACAGTACCTGAGGTTACCTCCACCCTCCCCACACTCTGATTCTAATCCAGTAGGCAGAGACTGCACAAAAGATTTCAGATGAGCATGCTCAAGAGCATTCCAAATCTCTCCATCAGTTTTCTGGTCCATTGGATCTATGTTCACCCGTAGAGTTCCAGAAAACAACACTGGATCCTTTTAGACAAAAATATATATTTAGTTGAAAGGATCTCTCTCTCTCTCTCTCCTAAGAATAATCCATACTTTTGAATTAATACAATTGTGCAGAATATCATATCAGCCATCAAAGGGATCATTTTTTTTACCTGAGGCAATATAGTCAGCTTGGATCTACAGTCATGAAGTCCTAGATCTGTTAACTTGACTCCGTCTATCTCTATGTTCCCAGAAGCTGGTTCAATCAAACGGAACAAAGCCAGAGTCAGGGAAGATTTACCTGCCCCTGTCCTCCCAACAATGCCAACCTAAACACAAGCAATAATGTCTTTCAAAGGCAGGAAAAGTTTCATTACAAAAGGATGCTGTCTATGGCTAATTGTAGTTGACCTACTTTTCTTCGAAATAAAATTTTGAAAAACATCATTTTCCTTTAAATTCCTTTTTAAAGCTTTGACCCTAATGTAACCCCACCTAGCCCCAGAACCAATGATCTGGAAAAACTTCATTGACACGGGATATTTGTATATAAATAGAATTTAACGTATCCACTCCTCTTCTTTAGATTTCTTCTCATTTCAAACTCTTACTCCCTATTGTGAAGTTATGAATTATGTATTATGAAAAATGAACAGATTGACGATGAAAGAAAGATAGAGAGATAGATAGACGGATGCTACAAGCTACTAATCATTTCCATTGACAAAATGTTTGGATCTTTTTTGAAATATTTTATCACCACCCAAGAAGATTATTTACCAAGCGTTGTTAAAATTGGCAAAGGTGGATCTAGAGAGACGGATGGACAAAAGGACGATGGACAAATTTTGATCAGAGAAGCTCTTTTGAGCTTTTTGCTCCGATGAGCTATAAAGCAAAAGAGAACGAGAGGAATCTTAAGGCAATTCACTCTGTTTCAGTAATTTTTGTTATCCATAGTTTTCTACCTTTTCTCCGGGTTTGATAGTGACATTGATATCCTTCAGAACTAAGTCTAGCTTAGGTCTGTATCGTGTAGAGTAGGAGGTCAGAGTGACCTGACCTTCACTCGGCCAGTCCTCTGGAGGTCGGTGATCAGCGTTGACTAGGTCAGCCTATAACGCAAAATAATCCTAATGAAAGAAAACCAAATAAAGTTACAATGGCATCTACTTTGAAATAGAGAACTGTGGTGTAGGAAAGTTCAGTCACATATTACACAATATTTAAGCAAAACCAAGGAAGTGAAAATAATTAACATTAAACAAAATCATAATATTTTAAATAAATATTACACTGCTAAATTTTGTAAATGGCACAAATAGAATTTCTTGAATAATAAAGGTATAAACGTTTATAATTATTTACTATGCCTATTTAATTAAATGAAAACTAAATTTCCACAGGTACCGGGTGTAATACAGCAGATTATCATCGATTGTTCCTTTAACGGTTATCTGTTCATGGTTCCCATGCTGTTATTGGTGTACTCTGTTATATATTCATAGTGCTTAGCTATTTGTTCATATCAATGGCTCTTGTGTATTATATTACTGAGTCTTTGCTCTCTGTAATCTGTTTATATCTTTGTTACATCCTTTATGTACTCTGCAGAATGATCATACATTTGACTCTATCTTTGTGCACTATGCTATGTATTGATTCCTCTGACTCTATCTTTGTGCATTCTGCTATGCATTGATTCCTCTGACTCTATCTTTGTGCATTCTGCTATGCATTGATTCCTCTGACTCTATCTTTGTGCATTCTGCTATGTATTGATTCCTCTGACTCTATCTTGTACACTCTGCTATGTGTTGATTCCTTTGACTCTATCTTTGTACACTATGCTATGTATTGATTCCTCTGACTCTATCTTGTACACTCTGCTATGTGTTGATTCCTTTGACTCTATCTTGTACACTATGAGATGTATTGATTCCTCTGACTCTATCTTTGTACACTATGCTATGTATTTATTTCTCTGACTCTATCTTGTACACTATGAGATGTATTGATTCCTCTGACTCTATCTTGTACACTATGAGATGTATTGATTTCTCTGACTTCATCTTTGTACACTATGACATGTATTGATTCCTCTGACTCTATCTTTGTACACTATGCTATGTATTGATTTCTCTGACTCTATCTTGTACACTATGAGATGTATTGATTCCTCTGACTCTATCTTTGTACACTATGCTATGTGTTGATTCCTCTGACTCTATCTTTGTACACTATGCTATGTATTGATTCCTCTGACTCTATCTTTGTACACTATGACATGTATTGATTCCTCTGACTCTATCTTTGTACACTATGCTATGTATTGATTTCTCTGACTCTATCTTGTACACTATGAGATGTATTGATTTCTCTGATTCTATCTTGTACACTATGTTATGTGTTGATTCCTCTGACTCTATCTTTGTACACTATGCTATGTATTGATTTCTCTGACTCTATTTTGTACACTATGAGATGTATTGATTTCTCTGACTCCATCTTTGTACACTATGAGATGTATTGATTCCTTGGACTCTATCTTTGTACACTATGCTATGTGTTGATTCCTCTGACTCTATCTTTGTACACTATGCTATGTGTTGATTTCTTGGACTCTATCTTTGTACACTATGCTATGTATTGATTTCTCTGACTCTATCTTGTACACTATGAGATGTATTGATTCCTCTGACTCTATCTTGTACACTATGTTATGTGTTGATTCCTCTGACTCTATCTTGTACACTATGTTATGTGTTGATTCCTCTGACTCTATCTTTGTACACTATGCTATGTATTGGTTCTTCGGACTCTATCTTGTACACTATGAGATGTATTGATTCCTCTGACTCTATCTTGTGCACTATGTTATGTGTTGATTCCTCTGACTCTATCTTTGTACACTATGAGAAGTATTGATTCCTCTGACTCTATCTTGTACACTATGCTATGTATTGATTCCTTTGACTCTATCTTTGTACACTATGCTATGTGTTGATTTCTCTGACTCCATCTTTGTACACTATGCTATGTATTGATTCCTCTGACTCTATCTTTGTACACTCTGCTATGTGTTGATTCCTTTGATTCTATCTTTGTACACTATGAGATGTATTGATTTCTCTGATTCTATCTTTGTACACTATGAGATGTATTGATTCCTCTGACTCTATCTTTGTACACTATGTTATGTGTTGATTCCTCTGACTCTATCTTTGTACACTATGTTATGTGTTGATTCCTCTGACTCTATCTTTGTACACTATGCTATGTATTGATTTCTCTGACTCTATCTTGTACACTGTGAGATGTATTGATTCCTCTGACTCTATCTTTGTACACTATGTTATGTGTTGATTCCTTTGACTCTATCTTGTACACTATGAGATGTATTGATTTCTCTGACTCTATTTTGTACACTATGAGATGTACTGATTTCTCTGACTCTATTTTGTACACTATGAGATGTATTGATTTCTCTGACTCTATTTTGTACACTATGAGATGTATTGATTTCTCTGACTCCATCTTTGTACACTATGAGATGTATTGATTCCTTGGACTCTATCTTTGTACACTATGCTACGTGTTGATTCCTCTGACTCTATATTTGTACACTATGCTATGTGTTGATTCCTTGGACTCTATCTTTGTACACTATGCTATGTATTGATTTCTCTGACTCTATCTTGTACACTATGAGATGTATTGATTCCTTGGACTCTATCTTTGTACACTATGTTATGTGTTGATTCCTCTGACTCTATCTTTGTACACTATGAGAAGTATTGATTCCTCTGACTCTATCTTTGTACACTATGCTATGTATTGGTTCCTCGGACTCTATCTTGTACACTATGAGATGTATTGATTCCTCTGACTCTATCTTGTACACTATGAGAAGTATTGATTCCTCTGACTCTATCTTTGTACACTATGCTATGTATTGGTTCCTCTGACTCTATCTTTGTACACTATGTTATGTGTTGATTCCTCTGACTCTATCTTTGTACACTATGCTATGTATTGATTCCTCTGACTCTATCTTTGTACACTATGCTATGTATTGATTCCTCTGACTCTATCTTTGTACACTATGCTATGTATTGATTCCTCTGACTCTATCTTTGTACACTGTGTTATGTGTTGATTCCTCTGACGCTATCTTTGTACACTATGTTATGTGTTGATTCCTCTGACTCTATCTTTGTACACTATGCTATGTATTGGTTCCTCTGACTCTATCTTTGTACACTATGCTATGTATTGATTCCTCTGACTCTATCTTTGTACACTATGTTATGTGTTGATTCCTCTGACTCTATCTTTGTACACTATGAGAAGTATTGATTCCTCTGACTCTATCTTTGTACACTATGCTATGTATTGATTCCTTTGACTCTATCTTTGTACACTATGCTATGTGTTGATTTCTCTGACTCCATCTTTGTACACTATGCTATGTATTGATTCCTCTGACTCTATCTTTGTACACTCTGCTATGTGTTGATTCCTTTGATTCTATCTTTGTACACTATGAGATGTATTGATTTCTCTGATTCTATCTTTGTACACTATGAGATGTATTGATTCCTCTGACTCTATCTTTGTACACTATGTTATGTGTTGATTCCTCTGACTCTATCTTTGTACACTATGTTATGTGTTGATTCCTCTGACTCTATCTTTGTACACTATGCTATGTATTGATTTCTCTGACTCTATCTTGTACACTGTGAGATGTATTGATTCCTCTGACTCTATCTTTGTACACTATGTTATGTGTTGATTCCTTTGACTCTATCTTGTACACTATGAGATGTATTGATTTCTCTGACTCTATTTTGTACACTATGAGATGTACTGATTTCTCTGACTCTATTTTGTACACTATGAGATGTATTGATTTCTCTGACTCTATTTTGTACACTATGAGATGTATTGATTTCTCTGACTCCATCTTTGTACACTATGAGATGTATTGATTCCTTGGACTCTATCTTTGTACACTATGCTACGTGTTGATTCCTCTGACTCTATATTTGTACACTATGCTATGTGTTGATTCCTTGGACTCTATCTTTGTACACTATGCTATGTATTGATTTCTCTGACTCTATCTTGTACACTATGAGATGTATTGATTCCTTGGACTCTATCTTTGTACACTATGTTATGTGTTGATTCCTCTGACTCTATCTTTGTACACTATGAGAAGTATTGATTCCTCTGACTCTATCTTTGTACACTATGCTATGTATTGGTTCCTCGGACTCTATCTTGTACACTATGAGATGTATTGATTCCTCTGACTCTATCTTGTACACTATGAGAAGTATTGATTCCTCTGACTCTATCTTTGTACACTATGCTATGTATTGGTTCCTCTGACTCTATCTTTGTACACTATGTTATGTGTTGATTCCTCTGACTCTATCTTTGTACACTATGCTATGTATTGATTCCTCTGACTCTATCTTTGTACACTATGCTATGTATTGATTCCTCTGACTCTATCTTTGTACACTATGCTATGTATTGATTCCTCTGACTCTATCTTTGTACACTGTGTTATGTGTTGATTCCTCTGACGCTATCTTTGTACACTATGTTATGTGTTGATTCCTCTGACTCTATCTTTGTACACTATGCTATGTATTGGTTCCTCTGACTCTATCTTTGTACACTATGCTATGTATTGATTCCTCTGACTCTATCTTTGTACACTATGTTATGTGTTGATTCCTCTGACTCTATCTTTGTACACTATGAGAAGTATTGATTCCTCTGACTCTATCTTTGTACACTATGCTATGTATTGGTTCCTCGGACTCTATCTTGTACACTATGAGATATATTGATTCCTCTGACTCTATCTTGTACACTATGAGATGTATTGATTCCTCTGACTCCATATTTGTACATTATGCTATGTGTTGATTCCTCTGACTCTATCTCTGTGCCCTCTGCTAAGTGTTCATGCCTCTGGTTTTTGTGTTGGTACTCCTGACACTATTTTTTGTACTCTGCTATGTGTTAAAACCTATGACTCTATTTTTTGCATCCTACTGTGTTTTCCAGCCTCTACGTTTGTTGGTATACATGTATCTTAGTATATTCTGCTTTATTCTCCGGACTATCTGCGCTTTGTTACGTGTATATTCCTCTGGCTTTTTTCTTTTTTGTACTATCTCTTTATACCTACATCATGTATATATATGGCGTTTACGTTGTGTACTCTACTACGAACATTGACCCCTGGCTATTTCTTTTATCTTTTTCTTTGTGGACTTTACTATTTTTTCATACCTCTGGTTCTTTGTCTGTGTACTCTGCTATTCTTTCTACAGATACTGCATTTGTTTCCACAGTGGTTATTGTGTACAGCAACCAGCTCATCAGGTTCGTTACCTGCAAATTTATTTCTATATAGAGAATTGGTAAGACAAAAAAAAAACATCAAAGCAGGTCTGGATAGAAATTATGACTTTCATTAGTCTAGTGACCTTCATTAGTGCTTAGCAATAAAAATCAAAACTCCTCTTTATGTGCAATATTATATACTTTGTAATTGAATTTATTGTAATTTTTCTTTAAAGAATGTCATATAAATGTTAAAGTATGAAAGTAAAGACATGAAGGACCAGCTCAATTTAACGTTCCCTGAGTTTAAATTGTGTTAATATGTTCCTGGCTGAGAAGAGGCACTCAAACTCAGAAATCGACATTGTCATCCCGAAATTTTCACAGTTTGTGCTATTGTAATTGGTATGTGGTTTTGAAGAAGGCAATTATTTTCTTTTGACAAACTTACACCCAACATCTACGTTATCATCTACCTTTTGAATAGAGTACAACCCAACATTAGCGTAAACTTGAATTACTAATACTGAAATTCCTAATGAGAAGAAGTTAAAAATTCAAACTCGACAGATGAATGCATAGAAGGAAGGATGATGGACAGATGCAATTAGAATTATAGCATAAACTTTCAGATAAAGTGAACACCATTTTTATTACTTACATTGAAGGAGTAGGATATTGAGAGTCCAGCCATCCCTGCACTAATACTGTTTCTGGTTACTACTGAGATTATAGAGGCTGCTAATATCACAAAGCATCCCAGCATTGCAACATGTATACCTCTCCACCTGTAACATGTAATGACTTTTTTGTAGTAGAAAAAAATTGAGCAAAAGGGTGTTAAAAATGCTACTATCTGCACTCCATAAACCTTAGAATCGACAATTTTAAGTGTTAAAATCGTTTTGTAATTCAAAATTAGGTCATAGTGAACTATTGAGGAATATAATCCTGCAGTCTGCGAGGTTTTAGATAGGCTTCTCTTGTACATGGTGTAGTTTGTTGAATATTATGAAGAATTTGTGTTTGGCCAAAGAAGGTTCAGGATAACGTTTTTAATCATATGACTTTGTATAGTCAAACCATTTTAGCGGCTAATCTATCAATATTAAGTATAGATTCATCAAATTTTGATAATTTCTGTATCCTGCTGCATAGTGTATAATGGCAAAACATACGAATTAAACAAAATAGTTTACCCATCAACAGACATTTCAGCCCACTTGACCTGGTGGTAATCATTCACTCTCCTCTGAAGCTCAGACATAAACTCGTTTTCTTTACCAAATGCCCTGATAACACTGGCACCAGCCAAGGTTTCACTGAAATAACTGTAAATTGGAGATCTGTTGTTTGAGGAAATTCTTCTTAGTTGTCTTGAGGTTGGTAAGTAAAAACTCTGTAAAAAAGTACTTACATGGTTTACGTATCTTTGTCCCACAAAGCATTAAAACATGAACAGAAAATTAACAAATTCAAATGTTTTGAAAATAAATATGTAGATAAACCATCCAGGTAAAAATGTATTACATTCATACCAGCAACAGGAAGTACAACATGCCGATTGGGATGGCTACCAGGAGAAACCAGCGAGAGCTGTACGTAATAGCAACCAGAACTCCCAGAAGTGAAATAATACAGAACATGACCATTTCTAAATACCAAGGAAATACGGTGTCTATTGACTCCATGTCTTTAGAAAAACGGTTAATGATTCGTCCTGATGGAGTGGTGTCAAAAAAACTTATTGGACAGCGCAGAATTGAGTGTAGAAGGTTCGTATGCATTGTGCGAGACGCAGCAGTTGTTCTAAGTACAAACAAAATTCCATACAGCACCACAGAAATGACTGCAAGTAAAGTAAAATAACATATAATATGCATTCGTTATAGAGTGAGGTGTATGGTTTTTTTTTTGTTTTTTTTTTTTTTTGTCAGGTGTTTTTTTCAATTCTTCAATTTATATACAGTGTATATTTGAAGTAAGAATCCAAATCTATAACGGAATATTAATACTGAACAAAGAGAGGCGATAAATTAGACAGATGGATCGTGGGATTACTGTAAGGAATGTTGGTGAAGAAAAACAGCAAAAATATGTCCACCCTGTCCACGTTGATAGCAGTTAATGACAACAGAATTTTCAATGAGTAAAGTTCACTAAAAGACCATCTTTCTAAAGAGAGGTAAAGTTATTTCACTAACTTTGCCCTAATCCAAAACCCATGTAACTTCCTAGGAAATATGTATTCCTTTCTTGGACGTTTGCATCATGGATAGTTTGATTAACCAATCTAAAAACGGGATCCTCTGTCCATTTGCTAAGCCAAATGTTTCCGAGCAGGGTCATACACTCTCCGAGTCCATAAAACATCACCAAGAGAATGCAGTACTTCAGAGATATTGCCCTGAAGTAAGTCATAAACCGCTGCCATTTCACCTGTTGATTCATAAACAACTTGTGATTAGTAGGATGCCAAGGAGGACATTTGTCTAAAAATGAGTGTAATATTATTAAAAATTAGTAAACCACTCACTGTAGTTTATATAAATTTTTACGAGTATAAGTAAATTCATAAAAAATGTACAGTCATAAAATAATTTAAGATTATGAACATCCAAGTTTTGCAAGAAACATGCAGCCATGAGAAATCTATATATTTTTATAATCATGTTCTCGTCTACAGAGACCCAGATTTTAATATACCTGTCCAGTTTCTGTTGACTCCTCTTCGATAAGATTATCTTTAACATTGTTTTTCTTTGCCACTGACTCTAGGTTCACTGAAGTCTGTCTATCTGTTGCAATGCTGGAGGAGCTCTTTATTTTCAAATGTTTTACATTTAGGTCGTTTATAGACTGTCTAAATCAAAGAAAACTGACTTATAAATAAAAAGGCACAAAGCTCAACCAAACTACGTACACTGTAACTTCTTTCCTCCGGTACCGTTAACATATTTGAACACAAGAACAGCTTAAAAGATATTTAAGAAGCTTAATAGACAAAGTATGTCATTTTTGGGAGGGGTAGATTTCTAATTAGTACCTGCCAGACTTCTGACCGTTTTTTGTGTCCAATGGTTGTTTGATTTAACGTATGACTTTTGAATTGTGAGAGGCAGGGTTTTGATAATTAGCATTTATACATGTTTATGAGCTAATGATACTGTACTTTGAGACTTTTGATATTCAGTTACCACACAAAAAATACACCAGGATCGGTATTCCACAATGGATCCTGCTGACTGACAATTGCGGTAAAGACAGACTGAAATCTCTTTTGGAGGATTATTGGAAACACGTATTTAAAATAAGATAAATTATTATTTCTAATAAAAAATCCTTTCAATTTATTTACTCATTTGAGGTTTGAAGAATCATATTTTCTTTGATCGTCAGATTCTATCACAGTGTAATACTATCCTTGGATACTTTTTTTCTTTGCAGGCAATTGCATGAACTATCATGCTAGTAGTAAATAAATGGTTGATCACGCTTGGATTTATTTACATCTTTAATGAAGCTACAAAGCAGGCGACAAATGCCTTCCTTGAAACACTGTAGCTTAACAAGTCAGCGTAGATTTTAATTATCACTTTCTGAATGTGCTTTATATGATTATACATTCAGCGAAAGATGTTTTCCGCGAAAGGCGCTATATAGAATACACAGCAAAATGTAATACGTTCTGCCAGACATAATTTGAAATGGTACCCTTTTTGTTTGAAGATAAAAGGAAATAATTCATAGCATAACTGCTATTAAGAAAGTCCATAAAATTACACTACAACAGAAAATCTGTAAATCCATAAAGAAATCTCAGTCTTAATTCATTAACAATCTTGAATGGATGCCTGCTCACTTTATAAAAATGTTTGCCTTGTTGATGAGAAAACGTTATCGAAGAGATCTTCCTATGTACCCACATAGAAAAGTCGGCAATATAAAAGGTCGTTTATTTATTGATCTCTATAAGTTATGATTTAATCTCTACAAATAAAAAACTACAACATTCACGTTTCTACGTCCATTTCTTATTGAACTATAAGGATGACAAAAAATTCGTACCTCAAGTCAAAGGTTGATCCATTGGTTTCGTCGGAGGTTAGTGATGTTAATCTCTGTAAGACATTTACTCGGAGCTCCTCTACAAATATTTTTATAATTTATCAACAATAAGCCTTTCTTTGGCTGGACACTCTTAAAAATAATTCGTGAAAAACATTCACACCTTCAATCTCCCCTTCAACATCCATCAAATAATTCTCTAAAAAATCTGCAAAAGGTCCAGCATGACTGAGAAGTTTATCATAAGAGCCAGTCTCTGATATTTTCCCATCCACCAGCACAATTATCTCATCAACTTTTGGTAACCACTGGATCCCGTGTGTAACCAAAATGCAAGTCTAAAAACAAACAGGTATATCTGTAAATATTTGAAAAAAAACTTCGCTAGAGGAAAAAATATATTATTGTACTGTAATATAGCTTTCTTCCATTGAAAAATGATATTCTTTCCAAGTAAGGAAGCATTGTGAATGCTACAATACAGTGTGTGTTTTTCCTTCGTTTGATTTTTGAATATTGTTTTTACAACCATATATCAGGTTATTTTGGAGTCGGGAATATTTGATAAATTTATTTTCAAAAAGGAGTTTGATATACTGTCGTTTCATACTTCGGATGATTTTCATACGTTAGAAAAAAAAAATACAGATTTTCAAGTTTTGTTTTTTTTTTTATATTATTTCTCTTGATCAATGAAATTCTACAAATATACTCATCAATGTTCGAGAAAACTCCCATGTCAATGAAAACCTGCCTCGAGTACTGAAATTTTTTTGTAAAATTCACTGTTGTTCCAAATGAAAATAGCATTTTTGCAAACCTTGTTTTTCAGTAACCCTGACGACCCAATTACTTCCTCAAATATATGGCTGCCAACATGAGAATCGACAGCAGACAGTGGGTCATCAAGGAGGTAGATGTCTGCATCATTGTACACGGCCCGAGCAAGACTTACTCTCTGCTTCTGTCCACCACTCAGGTTAATCCCCTGTAATATTCAGCTCGATGACAATCAATTCATTTAGGATATGCTAGTAGGTATTTCAAAGAATAGTCAATGGGTTTTTCTATTTTTTTTTGGGGGGGGGGGTTGGGTTGGGTTGGGAGGGGTATTTTTTAGAGAATATAGGAGAAAGGGGGTAAAATCAGTTTATAAGTTTCAGAATATTTAAGACCTGATAATTATGAATCTGCTCTACTAAACCATAGCTGCCCTCAATTTGTGTTAAAGATCAAAATCAAGTGAGACGACAATTAAGGCACACTGACTTGTAAATTCTTTTTGGCTAATAGACTCCCTTTTCTCTTCTGAAATCGAGTTTTCTACCCAATATTTTTCATTTAATCTTTTCTAGAAATTTTCTGACTTCAAAAACCTTTTTCAATATATCCCCCAATTGTTTACATTCTGGCAGAGGTATAACATTTCAAACTGATTTTAAGATGACTAATCATTAATTTGTACAAAAAAAGAAATAAAATCTTAATCAGTTATTAGAAAGTAGTGATAGAAATCTGGCCATAGAAATTGATGCTAGTAGGTAACACAGGGATAATTCCAGCACTATTCAAATCAAAATTAGTCAAAGTTATCTCTTTTTTAAAATTCTTAACCCCCCCCCCCCCCGATTATTTGTATCCGAAATTCAAATATCAACTCATTGAATGAGTATTCCAATATTCGTTGACATCCCTACGTCATCAATTAATTCTAATATTATTTATTACTCATTCAACCTCTTGTACATAAAGCAGTGCCTTTCAGACATTTTAAAACGGTATCTCAAATTTTCAAACCTTTTCTCCTATTTCTGTCTGATCTCCTGCAGGAAACATATTCAGATCAGGCGTCAGACCACAGGCCTCTACTATTCTGTTATATCGTTCCTTGTCCAATTTGAATCCGAAAAGGATGTTATCCTGTATGGTAGCGTTCTGAATCCAGGCCTGCTGTGAAACATATGCAATAGACCCCTGAAACAGAAAATTGTTTAAACACAAAATATAAGGCATCCTTGATAATGATTAAACTGCGTTATAAGAGTTATATCTCCTCTGAAAATCAGTCAAGTTAATTTAACTACTGATACACATACATATTTCACGTTGAAGACTACACCTTGTATTTCCTACAAATATACATCGACTATTGCTTCGAAACTTTTTAGTTACAATAAAACTTTACAGGGCCTGGATATCTGAAACATAATCCTCCTTCCTGTTCATGTTCTTCTTCACCCTATAACTATAGTCTTGCTGGACACGTTATTACTGGTGACGTAAATATAATTAATAATGAGGACCTTAAATCACTAATTTTAAAAAGTCCTAAATATAGGGAACCCCGATCCTTTAACTGGCGTCGTAATTTCATAAATATTGTGGATACCGTGTAGGATTACGCCAGGCGCCTGGTCAGACATGAAAAAGAAGTCCTTGATACTTTGTCAGAATGGATTAAATATATCAGATATATGTTACAATCTCGCATTAAACGATTGAGGGGCAATATGAAAACCATCTATCCTTCTGTATTCAATAATTCAGAAGTGAAAAAAAAAGATTATACGATCAGTACGTACTTTCTGACAAAGCAGGTAACAACATTGTTTGTCTTTGTTTGTAAGGCACATTATATAAATTGTATTTTAGAGGAACTAGGATTTAATTCTACAAGTGGAAATCCAACTTATACCCATAACTCCCTTTCCAAGGAGGAAATTCTTCAAAATTATATGTCAGTTTTGAATATCTTTAATATTTCCAACAACCAAAATGAATTCAAATTACCATATCTATATTGGATTCCGAAACCTTACAAACAAGGATACATAGCGGGCTCTAGTAAATGTTCTACCAAGCATCTTTCTTTACTCCTCACTAAGATATTAACACTGGTGAAGGAGACCCTTCAAGAGTACTGTGCAACAATATATTCGAGAAGTGGTGTAAATCAGATGTGGATACTAAAAAATTCCAAGGATCTTTTGGAACATTTGAAATCACAAAATTTTACCAAATTCAACACAATAAAAACTTACGACTTTTCAACTTTATATACATCTATTCCCCACGATAAATTAAAGTCCAGACTTTCTTACATCGTTGACAGCTGCTTTTTCAATAAAAATGGAACTCATAACATTACTTACCTTGTCATTGGTCATTTGCAAAATTACTTTGTTAAAAAACAATCTAATTGTAAACACAAGTACTCTGAGGTTGACTTAAAAAAGATGCTCGAGTTTCTGATTGACAATGCGAGGGTTGTTCGGAAAGTTCGAGGACTACCGTCTTAACTATTTTACTTAACGTCATATCATATCCAAATTTGGAAGAAATATTTTAACAGTAAATTAAAATGATGTATATTTAAAAATTTAAATATCGTGGTTTATTTTAAACTTACTTAGACTTAAAAAAAAATGCGAAAATCGGATCACGGAGCAGGTCAAAATTTTGTAATTTACAATCAAGACACTAAATACATGTGTAATGTCTGAAGTCATACAAAAACGGAAAAATTCTACACGTTCATATTAAGAATTGTTTCATCGTTTCTGACTCCAAATTATGACTTAATATTTTGCTTCGTTGAAAAGAAACCAGTTAGAAGATAGGTAGTCCTCATTGAAAAAGGCAAAAAAAGATGACGTCGTAGAACGTCACGAAGCAGCAGTTAACCATACAATTTTTTGTTGTACTTTGGGAACTCCAGAAGTGCCGGAGGAAGTAGGAAATATGTCAAAAGCGAGCCATGCATGTGTGTATGCATAGTACAAGCGGTATTTGAATGATTAGACGATGGTGATCTGTGAGAAAACGGATTATCTGTAAAAAGCTTATCAAAAACATTGCAAAAGTTAGTAACGTCATGCTAAGAGTTTGGCGCTTCACAGATGCTGATCTTGTGAAAGCACACTTATACAGTGAAAAAAATATAACATTGACAAACAAAATGATGCTACTTGAACAATTGTAAGCAAAACAAATTTTAAGTGATAGAGAACCTTTTTCAATTAGTGCGCTGGCATTGGGCAATACTGCGTGAAATGTATAGGGATACTATTTTTGAGAACCTCATGTCGGTATGTTTTTGAGTTTGCTCCATGGTTACAAAACGTGTTGATTTTAAAATTAAATAACATGAATTCTATTAAATCACATGGAATGAAACTTCACACTTAAACAAGATAAATATTTTTACATATGAAAATGTGCTCATTTTAAATTTCTTGAAGATAGTATAACGAAAATTGGCATAGTCCACGAACTTTCCGAACAACCCTCGTATCTATGTGGTTTTTGGAGACCATGTCTTCCAACAATCTATTGGAATTCCCATGGGTACCAATTGCGCCCCGTTATTAGCAGACCTATTTTTGTATTCATATGAAGCAGAATTTGTTCAAAATCTTTTTGTGAAAAGAAGAAAACACTTGCTGTGGCCTTCAACTCGACATTTACATATATCGACGACGTACTGTCAATTAACAATGGTTATTTTCAATCTTAAGTCGGCACGACATATCCCTGTGATCTTGAGATAAAAGATATCACAGAGTCTGACACATCTGTTTCATATTTGGAAATTTTATTAGAAAAAGACGTTAATGGTAATCTAACAACAAAGCTTTATGATAAACTTGATGCCTTTAACTTTTCAATCGTCAACGTCCCTTACTTATGCAGCAATATACCCTTATCACCTGCATACGGGGTTAATATTTCTCAGTTGATTCGATACGCCAGAGCATGCTCTAAGAATGAACAATTTCTAAAACGAGGTAAGTTATTGACAAACAAGTTGATGAAACAAGAATATCAGTAATCTCGTTTAAAGTCATCATTTCGTAAGTTCTATGGTCGATACAATGACCTTGTCAGCAAATACAATCTATCATTAAGTGAAATACTGACTGACTTTTTTCATACTTATTGTTAGGCCATTATTAACACACTGAATTGTCGACGGATTTTCCCGTTATTTCCCGATCATGACAAGGAGCACACGGCGGGTGTGACCGGTCGGCAGAGGATGCTCACTCCTCCATGACACCTGATCCCACCTCTGATGTCTTAGAGATCCGTGTTTGCTCTGCTCCTATTTTGTAATGTTTAATGGACTTTTGAGCTCGAATACTGTTCGTTATCTCCACATATTTCATACAGAAGATAAAGGAAAAGAGGGTCATAAAAATGAAATGTGAAAATATTTCAGCATACGTAATTCACAGATTTCTGAGAATCTCACACCGACCTTAATGCTAACGTTCCCCCTTATTTTTGTCATCTCCCCCAGTATTGCTGACAGCAGTGATGACTTCCCCTGTCCGACCTGTCCAACGACTGCTACAAGGCTTCCCTCTGGGATTTCTACATTCACACTAAATGAATAAAATGTAAAAATAGACGATAATTTATTTACAATCATTAACGTATATGCACCCAATAAAGAGTCAGATAGGTTAGCCTTCTTAAACACTCTCAACAAATTTATTTCTTTTTTTTCTGCGCAAGATAGTACGATCATAATAGGAGGTGATTTCAATTGCAATTTTAATAAAGAAAATGACAAATCAAATAAGAAATTGAATAAAATAGTAAATACGCTCGACTTAGTCGACGTATGGCGTAATAAAAATCCTGCTAACAATGGTTATACATGGTGTGATGCAGAAAATTGTCCAAAGAGTAGGATAGATTATATTTTTGTAAATAAAGACTTTATAGAACGTGTAAAAAATATTATTGTACGACGAATTCCAGGTACTCACAATAATAGCACACGGTTAAGTGACCACAGATATCTTAAACAGGTCTGGACGATTTCCAAATATGGAAGTCAAGAAAGATAACCGTGAATTGCTATAAATACACAGAATAAACAAGGTGCTTAATTTTCTGACCAATCAGATAACGGCATTTAAACAAACCCATGAGAAAATAAATAAAACACGTGGTTTTAAACTTTTTTGCTCAAAAGATTTTTTTAGAACAAACTTTTTGTAGACTTTATGCACATTTTGGAATGAAACAGCATATCTGACAATTCTACCGTGAACAAACACGACTTGAAAGCTTAAAATAAATTCTAAGTGAGATTAAAAATCTGTCACTACGAGATAGCAATCCCAGAAGTTTAGAAATTTGATGTAAATACGGCAGATTTTCAGTTTTTAAAGTCGGACATGAAAATGTTTTCGTATAGGAATAATAATAGTCTGAATTATTTCCTGTTTATTAGAATCATCCAGTTTCCTGTATGCGTGGTAAATTATGGTGATAAAAAGCATTCATCTACATTCCCTTTTCTCCACGTTTGACACCTTTCCTTATGTCCATAACGAGGTATTAGGGACTCATAAGACCCGTGATATTTTAAAACTTCATGTAGTCTATACGATGAACACTTGTATGCCGTAGATCTATACGCATGGAAACTACGCGTCATCGATGAAAATCGGAACGGATAAGCAAAATTATATTTCCAACTTAGAATTTGTTCTGGTAAATGTTATAATTATAATTGATAATAGCTTGACGGTGTGATCTATTCCTCTGCAAATGATTGCATTGTTAGATGCATTAATTTTTGTTTATTCCGAGATGAAAATTCAAGTTTGTTCACGGTAAATATTTGGGGAATACCTTATTCTTCCAAACTTTTCATCTTACTTCTATAGATTTTTTGTCAAAAAAATCTTCTTGAGGAAAAAAACATAAGCACGTGTTCTCTTTTTGTTCCTTTGAAATATGTTTTGGGGTGTGTAAAAATCCCGTTGTCTGATTGGACAGAAAATTATTTACGTGTATACAATGTGTATTTATAGCAACTTTCAGTTATCGTTCTTGACTTCCATATTTGGAAATCGTCCAGACCTGTTAAATGTACTTTAAATCTTAGTAAACTAGAAAGAGGTGCAGGTTACTGGAAATTAAATGTATCTCACCTTGAAAATGATGATTACAAACACGGTATAATAGATATATATAACAATATTGATGAAACGCTAGATCCAATTTTGAAATGGGAAACTTTTAAAATAAGTGTTCGTGATTATTCTATTAAATACGCAAAACAATCTAAGCATAATATAAAATATAAAGTAAAACTGCTTGAGGAAAAAATCGATAATATTGAATCATTGCGTAGTTCAGAAATTAATATGAATGAAAAGCGAAAACTAGAGAAAGAATTAGATGCAATGTATGACGAAATTGCTAAAGGAGCTCAAATAAGATCAAAAGCGCAATGGATAAGCGATGGAGAGAGAAATACAAGTTTCTTTCTAGGATTGGAAAAAAAAACATCAATCAAATAATACGATAACTGAATTAAAAAAGAATAATAAAACATTTGCTAGTAATAGTGAAATTTTACAAGAAATGTGCCTTTTTTATGAAAACTTATATACAAGCAAATCTGTTGATGATAACAATATTTCGTCTTATTTACAAGACATTGAATGTCCAAAGCTCAATGATCGCGAGCGAAAGTTTTGCGACACATTTCCAACATTTGATGAATGTTTAGATGTGGTTCATAATTTAAAAAGCAACAAATCTCCAGGTTTAGATGGATTACCAGGGGAATTTTATAAATGTTTTTGGAATATAATTGGACCTCTCTTTTACGAAGTATTATTAACTGTATTTGAAAAAGAAGAATTACCATATTCTCAGCGATTGGCACTTATCACCCTTTTATTTAAGAAGGGTGACAAGAATAGTCTTAAAAACTACAGACCATTAAGTTTAACAAACACCGATTACAAGATTATAGCCTTTGTTCTCGCAAAAAATTACAAAGTGTCATAGATAAATTAATTAGTAAGGAACAATCGGCATATATCAAAGGTCGCTACATAGGTATAAATGCAAGGTTAATTTTAGACATTTATGAATATTGTATGGAAAATGAAAGAGATGGATTATTACTATTTTTAGATTTTGAAAAAGGCTTTCGATTCAGTCGAGTGGAATTTTCTTTTCCAAGTTCTGAAAAAATTTAACTTTGGAGATAATTTTCTCCAATGGATGAAAATTCTATACAATAAACCAATATTCAGAATTAAAAACAATGGATGGATTTCTAAAACTTGTAGCATGAATAGAGGTATTAGACAAGGATGCCCTATTTCAGCTCTATTGTATCTATTTGTGGCAGAAATATTGGCCCTTAAAATTAACAAGAGGCCCAAGGGCCTTAACGGTCACCTGAGTATAATACAACAATTTAGAGGATCCATAGAGTATAAAATGAACTGAAAGGTGAAGCTTTGTTGCCCAAAAGCAAGAAAAATAGGGTGATCAGGATCAACAAAATAATAAGTCTAGTGTTCATTAACAGTACATAAATTAGGTTCTAATCTGTTCCCCATTTAACACTCTCACCACACAGTACATAAACAAACTTATAATCAGTGCTTCTGTACTCTTTTAATTCCTTGTTGAAATCTCTTACATTGGCCTCTCTTGGTCTTTGATGAACATTTAATAAGACAAGTTATTTTTGTCTCATTTTTATTTATCTGTTACTTACAAGTCTACCTGATCATTAAAACTATGAAAGTACTTTTTGTATTATACAATAAAAAAATTCTTGCATAATTCTCTTACTCTATTAACGTTTCAAATACATTATTTACAGTGATTAATTATCACAAGTAAATGGCAAAGGGGAATAATTCCTCTCAGTAGAATACAAATTAATAGAGCCCTGGCCTGGACCAGAACACTTGATCAAATGGTTCTGATGTTCAAAAATCTGGTAAAAATACCCTTCCTTATTAAAACCTTTACTCTTTTTGCCTCTGATATGCCCAGGTGCAGAAAAGATTTTTAAAGCATTAATGCATTTTCACTATATAATAAATAGAGCCCCGCCCTAATATCAGAACCTCTGATCCAGGGGTCATGAAATTCACAATTTTGGAAGAGGCATCCTTGCTTATCATAACCATGTATTTGTTTAAATAATACCCAGGAGAAGAGAAGAAGATTTTCAAAGAATAATGCACTTTCACTATATGATCTATATAGCCCCACCCTAGCACCAGAACCCCTGACCCTGGGGCTATGAATTTCACAATTTTGGTAGAGTTGCCCTTGCTTATCATAGCTATGTATTTAATTTGTTTAAATAATACACCGGAGTAGAGAAGAAGATTTTCAAAGAAATAATGCACTTTCATTATATGATCTATATAGCCCCGCCCTAGCACCAGAACCCCTGACCCTGGGGCCATGAATTTCACAATTTTGGTAGAGTCACCCTTGCTTATCATAACTATGTATTTAATTTGTTTAAATAATACCCAGGAGTAGAGAAGAAGATTTTCAAAGAAATAATGCAATTTCACTATATGATCTATATAGTCCCACCCTAGCACCAGAACCCCTGACCCTGGGGTCATGAATTTCACAATTTTGGTAGAGTCACCTTTGCTTATCATAACTATGTATTCAATTTGTTTCAATAATACCCAGGAGTAGAGAAGAAGATTTTTAAAGAAATAATGCACTTTCACTATATGATCTATATAGCCCCGCCCTAGCACCAGAACCCCTGACCCTGGGGCTATGAATTTCACAATTTTGGTAGAGTCGCCCTTGCTTATCATAACTATGTATTCAATTTGTTTAAATAATACCCAGGAGTAGAGAAGAAGATTTTTTAAGAAATAATGCACTTTCACTATATGATCTATATAGCCCCACCCTAGCACCAGAACCCTTGACCCTGGGGCCATGAATTTCACAATTTTGGTAGAGTCGCCCTTGCTTATCATAACTATGTATTCAATTTGTTTCAATAATACCCAGGAGTAGAGAAGAAGATTTTCAAAGATATAATGCACTTTCACTATATGATCTATATAGCCCCGCCCTAGCACCAGAACCCCTGACCCTGGGGCCATGAGTTTCATAATTTTGGTAAAGGGCTCAATGCTTATTACTATCATGCCAACAGTTTGACTGCTTGATGTCCAGGAGTAAAGAAGAAGATTTTTAAAGATTGCATTAATTTTGATGGTTTTGGCCCCACCCCTCAGGCCCCAGGGGGGCAGGGGCCACGAATTTCACAATTTTTGTTCCCCTTCACCCATAGATGCTATATGCCAAAATTGGTTGAAATTGGTTCACTGGTTCCAGAGAAGAAGCTGAAAATGTTCAAAAGTTTACGACCGACGGACGACGCACGACGACGGACGAAAAGAGATAGCAATAGGTCACCTGAGTGACTCAGGTGACCTAAAAATAACAATGAAATACAAGGTATTAATTTATCAAACACGAAAAGAGATATAAAAAATATTCAGCATGCAGACGATGTCACACTGGCTTTAAAAGATATATCTTCTTTAAATATTGCAGTAACGACTGTTAATGAATTTTGTAAACACGCTGGCTCAAAAGTTAATTTAAGCAAAACACAATGTATATTACTAGGTAGTCTTAAAGATAAATACACCAATGTAGGAGGCATACAGGTAACTAATGATGCTGTTCGATGTTTAGGTATTCACATTGGCCATAATAAAATTCAATGTTATGAATTGAATTGGTTAAAAACTTTTCAAAATATGGAAAAACTCTTTGAATCTTGGAAAAAAAGAAAATTGACTATTTTTGGGAAATCATGTGTCGTTAATTCATTAGCTACGTCACAACTTATTTATATGGGTTCAATATTACCAATGCCCGATCCCGAACATATTCGACAAATTAAAAGCAGCATATTTGACTTCATATGGAATAAACGCGATAGAATTAAAAGAGATACTGTGATCGGAAAACAGGAAGATGGTGGAATAGGTGTGATAGATATTGAATTGAAATTTAAGGCCTTAAAGGCAGCATGGACTAGATTCCTAATAGATAAGAATTGTATACTCAGCGAAATAGTAGAAGGCTATTTGAATCGTCTTAATGTTGATATCAATTATATATTAACTTTATCGGAGACAAAACCCTCAGACTTTAAAATCATTTCAAACCTCCCGAATTTTTATAAAGAAGTATTCTGTAGTTTTAATGATTGTAAAAGATATATCGATGAAACAAAATTATCTAATGTAAGTTTTGCTCAGCAACCAATATGGAATAATAATATGTTTAAATATGCAAACAAAACAATATGTTTCAAAAATTGGATCCAAAGTGGGATAACACATGTTAAAGACCTTTTTAATAAAAGTGGACAATTTAAAACTCTACAAGAATTGTCCTTTGATCTGAAACAAAAATCGAATTGGATGTGTGAATATAAAATAATAAAAACGGCAATCTATAAAAAAGCTTTAAGATTAGATATGACTTGTTGTTCATACATACAGACTATAGGAAATTGTTATTTTAATTTTATCAATGGTGCATATTGTATTGAAGATAAAAAATGTAAATGTTTCTACGATAATCTACTCTTTAAGAAATTTAAAGCTCCAAGTCACCAATTAATGTTTAAAAAAATTTTTTCTGTTGCCAAAGAGAGTTGGAAATTTATATATAGAAACAAAGTAAAAGACATTTATGACAAAAGAATATGTGAATTTAATTACAAATTGTTAAATAATACATTATGTTGTAACAGTTTTCTTTTTAAATGCAAATACAGAACATCTGCTTTTTGTAATATGTGTGATGAAATTGAAGATATTAGACATTTACTTTTTGATTGTGCACATGTTCAAATACTATGGAAAAATCTGAGTTCTGTGTTAAATTTTGATATACAGTGGAAACATGTCATATTAGGGTTTTATTCTGAAAAGAATTCCAAATTACAATTTTTGAATACCTTTGTGTCTTTCCTAGCGTATAAGATATATAAATTTAAAATGTTTTGTAGATGTCAGAACAAAACTGAAACAAATGATATGTTACTCTCTTATGTAAAAAATAATATTAAAAAAAATATGGACTTATTAATGAAGTTAACGAAAACTCATATGTTTAAAAATAAGATAGTGTCATTTGTAGAATTGCTATAATAAATATTTGTTACTCTGTTATTTATGTTATACTAACTATCCTGACCCGGGATAGTTGGAAATTGTAAATGGGTTTGCACAATGATTAATAAATTAAAAAAAAAAATGAATAAAATTCAAAATGAAAATGGCGAAAATGGTCACACTTCTCTAGAGGTTCTCTCTCTCTCTGTTTGGGTAATTACTTTAAAGAAACCAGAAAACCTACAAAGTTTTACAGGGCCCCTCAGTATGCTTTAAAGAATCTGGGGGGGGGGGATAAGACGAGCCATGTGCCCATGCTCATTTTTCGGCTATGCAAGAACATTTATTGGAAAAAATCTCTCAGTTGTTCGAATTTACTTAAGCATTTTACTGTTTACCGTAGTTTTCAAAATGATATTTATATTCTAAACCAGCTAAACAGTTGACTTTCATTTACTGTCACAAATGTCTAACAGGGGTAAGGACTTCTATTAATTCTATTAATTATTCTGCATATTGAGTGTTTACACTTATTGTGGAGATATTATAAAAATGTTAACATCGTATATAATGATAATGGTGATCTAGAAGCGCTTTTATTTAAAATAAATAAAAACGGGAATAAAAGTATTCAAATATCTATTATAATTTTTATCCGGCATTTTAAATTATTTACTGTAAATAAGTTCATTACTAAATGTATATATTTTATTTCCAGTGAAAATATTTTTTATAAAGTAAAACAAAATTAAAAAAAACAAAAAAATAAAAAATAAAAAAATCAGAGCATGACTCGAACACTTTCCTCAATAAACGTCCCTTTAAAGAGCTCCTCGCTAACCACTAGACCACGGAGTCAACTTACATGTCTATTTAAAAAGCATACAGTTCTCTATATTTAGCAAGCGTTTTTGGACTTAGAATTTTTTAAGACCACGGTGAAAATTTAAGTAAGTTAACTTTATTTTTTATGTAGAGTGGGTCTTCATACCAAATTTTTGCAAGTGTAAAAAGCAACATCTTTCCATTGCTTTTCATTAATCGTTCTCAAAAAAAAATGGTACGATGACCCACTCTATTAAAAAAAATGTAGTTATATCATCCAATTTATGTCAGTTTCTGTGAAAATTGAGGTGATGCCATTTTGTTGTGTTAATCAAATTCATTTTCGCTGTTACAGTATTCAGGTTTTGTCAAATTTGTAGGCAAATGGTAATAAGCATTACATTAATTCAACAAAAAGTGAAATTTTTGTAAAATGAATTTATTGTTTTTTTATCGATCGTTATGTAGGCATATGGCACGGCTTATCCCCCCAGTTTCTTTAGCAATAATCTTGACCTTTTTACCTTGCCCTATGACAATTAACCTCAGAATCTATAGGGATCTCTTTTGTGTGAATTTTAAGTATGCATGCTAAATATACTTGACTTTTGTACCATATGTGAGGTCAGTTTAAAATAAACAGTTTTGAGTTTAATCTTAAATGCAAAGATGTTGTCCTCGAATTGTGACTCAATATATGTGTTATTTTTACGTTTAAAAATACACGATTTACTGCATTGCAACACTCAATAATTAATAGCCATGGTAATAGTCCTACCCTTTTGGCATAGACCTTTATTCGAGAAAAGTCTTTGTATATTAAAACAGATGATAAATTAAGGATAAATAACACAAACAAACTTTTTTTAAAAGAAATTAGCAATATTTCTCACAGATTAATATTCTAATAAGTAACCTGGATGATGTTTACTAGGTAAAGTGGGAGAACTTTGTAAGATTTTGTCGCAATGTTAAAAAATATGTGTAAAATTTTGTATAGTATTATATAGAAAATAAACCAAAGTCGCATATTTAAGCACCAAAGAAAACTTATCAATCCAGGCATCAAATTTTTGTTTGTGTTATGTATCCTTAAGAGAATTATATATATATATATATATATATATATATATATATATATATATATATATATATATATATATATATATATATATATATATATATATATATGTGTGTGTGTGTGTGTGTGTGTGTGTGTGTGTGAGGGTGTGTGTGTGTGTGTGTGTGTGTGTGTGAGAGGGTGTGTGTGTGTGTGTGTGTGTGTATAGCATGCATACTTAAAATTCACACAAAAGAGATCCCTATAGATTCTGAGGTTAACTGTCATAGGGCAAGGTAAAAAGGTCAAGATTATTGCTAAATCATCAGTAGACTTGAAATTATAATTTGAGTTTTTCATTTCAATTTAAATATTACATATATTAGACTGACTCAGTCAAATGACTTACTCTTCTAGGATACGGTTGCCATCCCAAGCAAACACACCGTTTCTGATTTCAATGGCTTTCTCTAAAAAATACTTCGGCATAATTAAAAATACCGATGGTTAATCGTTTCTAGAAAACACAAAGAACAATAAAACTGAAACAAAAGACAGTTTACCTTGTTTGAAATTTCTTTGAACAACATCTTCTTGGATATCTGTTCTGTTTAGGAATTTGTTAATTCGTTTGACTGCCACGAAGAAGTTCAAATTTTTGCGTAGAGCCACTTGTATCATGTCGATGGCAAATCTTAGAATATTGAATAGAGAAAGAGAGACAAATATTGTCCTGGCCTCAAGAGGTTTATCACTGATGCGAACGTATGTAAAGAACGTAGAAAATATCACCTACAAGATAAAAAAAAAATAGAATTATACCAAATTATACCTACATGCACATATGTTCAAAGGATTGCTGCTGCAAATTGTAACACGTACATGTAGACGAATTAGCTACTACATACATGATGCAGAATTACTTACTATAACAGGTGTTATGTGAAAAAGTGTTTCCAAGATTCGCTCTAAGACCCTCAAATGCAGTAGTTTTTTAAGTTCCTTGTTTCTTACATCTATAATTTTGTTTTTAAAAGTCATTTCCCAAGCATACAGCTTTAAGACCTACAACATAGAGATATTTTAATCTTGTTAACATCAATTGATCAACTGAAGGAAATTAGCAGTTTCCAAGAATGAACATATCCTGGATCTATACCTTTATGCCATTGATAACTTCAGATAAAAGATTAATTCTCCAGTCTTTGACTTTCATTTGTTCCTGCATCACCCTAAATGTTCTAGAGGCAAGGAAAGCATTCATTGGTACCAAAAGAGCCAAAACCCCACATCCTGCAAACATGGCATAACCAAGGATCTCATACAGAAAATAAAGAGCCAGCATTGTCTCCACAAGTGCTTCAATCCAGATCCCGACGAACATCATGTTGTCTTGAATGGTAGAAGTATCGACCGACATCAAATTTAAAATTTCACCAACTGATGAGGTCTGCTTTGAGTTGCGACTTACTGTCAATGCCTTAAAGATTTCAGAAATATTTTGCTAGGACTGAAAGTTATATTTGTAAAGGTTTCAAATTCCACCCTGCAAATTGACATTGAATAAGAATATAAGCAATTATCATTCTATAATATTTTGCTGATGAATTTATACTTATATTAATATATTGACTGCTAAGTCATCTATTTTCAGGAAATGATTGTAAAATCTATTCACTTGCATCGCGCTTTAGTCTGGGTAGACGAAGTTGTGGAAGAAGGTGCATTTCTAATAATCACTCAGTACCAAGACGTAAAAAAAAAAGATGTTTGGAATATATCGAAGACTTGAATACATCACTTTTAAGAAGGTTTGTACGACAGCAAATATACACAATAATACCCGCAGGAAAAACATAACTTCCTTCAAACTTTAGTACACCATAAACATAGGGCGTTGAACTGGTATCCCCACCCATTTCCTCATTTGAGAAAACCAACAATAAAGGGTTTAGAAAACACTGATATATTTAAAGTATGAACCAGAAAGTGTGTTAGTAAGTTTATAATTAATTTCATTACCTTTTTATACAGTGCAGTCATTAGTGTAGCACTGACTCTTTTCCCAAGGTTCCAGGCCGTGTACATAGAGTGATAGTGAAGGAAAACCTCTATCACTGATACTACAAAAAGTGATACGGCCAACATATAACCCCACCATAGCTGGTTTGTCCCAGGTTCTGCTATAAACTCTAGAAGTAAGCTGAAAGCAATATGTACAAGGAAATAGAAGCATTTTTATGCAGCTATTCTAATAAATTAATTAACATAATTCCAAGACTGGTCTCTAAAATTGTCCAAACGGCAATTCATTATTATGTTTCAAATTGTGCAGTGAAAAGAAATGCAAAGCTACTTTCAATATTTTGAAAATGATTTCATTAAACAATAAAATGTTTTCTTTGATTGTTAATACGTGAATCATTGGCTGCAATCATTGCAGAGAAATGTATTATTTGATTTGTAAAATTTCATTTGTTCCACTTACCAAGGATATTTTCACATTTAAAAAAAAGTACCTTGTGTAAAAAAGTTTATTCCACTTTCAAGAGAAATGTGTTTTATGTCCTGTTAAGCTTCCTCTCCCTATGGGTTCTTAGATTCGTTATAATTGATATATCTTTTCACTTATTGTGACAATATAAGCAAAATCATATTCAAACTCTTTCATTTGTTTACTTATCGAGGGTTGATAAACCTAATAATTTTATAATTCTCACTTGAGTAATTAAGGGTTGATAAATCTAGTAATTTTATAATTCTTACCTGAGTAATTGAGGGTTGGTAAATCTAGTGACAAGCATGAGTGTAGTAAGTAGATGGAATTTTAGATATTCCCATCCAAAAATTTTTAAAAGGATGGTCAAAAGGGATTGATTGGAAGTACGAGGGTCGGAATAATGTGTATGTCCAACCTCAGTAAGCAAGGATTCTCCTGCATCTTCTTGTTCCTTTTTTATTTTAATACTGCAGAGAATATAAACCATAATTAAATCTTCATTAATGATTTTTGAGAATTGTTTATGCATATAAATTCTTGAGATAATCAAAAGATGTTTGCGCGCAAACTTACCGCTTCCGTCTGTTATTTTCTGAGCGTTTCCGGCATTTTGAATATTTAGTAAACAGGTAATCAGCTCTGTCATTAGAATCTAAGGGATAAATATCGTCTTGTTTTAAAGTTCTTCTGTATCCTTTGGTTAAAACCCTATTAATGTACGTATAATAGAAAAATTCATATTAAAATTACCGTCCAAATATCTATTCATACACTATATTTCTATTGTATACCTTGAAGTAAATTTCGAAAGCTCGTCTAGAGCCAATACACCATGATAACTTAAAACTAACATACAGTGAACATTTGAATGTTGCAGGCAGTTCAGCTCAATAATTGCTTCAAAATAATTGAGTGTCCAATTTGATACCTACCAAAAAGTCCAGGAAAAAAATAGCCTGACCGGAAAGGAAGATTTTGAATATGGGCTATTCCCCTGAAAAGATGTAAAATCAGCAGTAAATTAGGAAATTATAAACTTCTGTAGTTGGATTTATTATCTATCTATCTATCTATCTATCTATCTATCTATCTATCTATATATATATATATATATATATATATATATATATATATATCGGAGTAAACTTACAGAATTGTCTAAATCCTAACAATACAGAATATAGTCTCTCTGTTGTAGTGTGTAGATGCTTATTTACTTCATGAATGAAATAAAGTACATCCATTTTTTTTATTTTAAAAATATCATTTATTTCATTAAAATGGAATTACACTTTTTTTTCAATTGGTAGTACATAGAAAATGCAGATTTGTTTGAGAATTTTATATAATTTAAATACTGCTCTGATTAGCTAAATTGTTCAGAGATTGCTTTTTAAACTTCAGAAAAGATTTTTATTTCAATCAAATTCTCGGTGACTTTTTAAATATGCTTATTAATATAGAAATAGTTTATAGTTTTTGATAAGAGACGACATAGGCTAATTAGTTTCTATTATTCCTTAGAGGCGATTTGATCTTCATGATTGGTTGAAAGTCTTAAACATGTTTTTCTTATTTGCATGTTACAATAAACTATCAATTATCATATTTAAACTAAATCAAATTCAAATAATTCTAAAATTTCCAGCGGCAATTTGACTTTTGGGTATGTTTTATTGATATGGATATTTCTATTGCTAGTAGATTAATGATAAAATAAATACTTGATTTAAGAAAAAGGGGGAAATTTAAGGATTCTACGTAGACGATGAAAAAGAACAGAAGGCATGCAAATCATTAGGCATCTATTAAACTCAGTAGTTCAATCAAGCAAAGTAATTGTTTCAAAGTTGTTTTATTTCAAAAACAGAAACATATCTTCATAGAATTTAAACATATATATTATAAAAAAAAGATTAAGGTTAGCATTAAAACCAAATTCCTTATTTACGGGTTTTTTTTTTTTTGGATTGGTTGTATGTTGTTTTACGTCCTATTCGAGAATTTTTCACTCATATAGAGACGTCACCATATACCGGTTAAGGGCTTCAAATTTTGACCATTACTCGGCACTCACGGCCTTTGAGCTGTGAGGGATCTTTATCGGTTTTTAAGGTCTCATCCGAAGGACCCGCAACTTTCACTTCAAAGTGCCGAGCGCAAGGCGAAGGAACAGTTGCTACCCATTTTTTATCGACTTAGGTCAGTCGCGGCCGAATTCGAACTCAAAACCTCCCGATCACGAAGCAAGCGTTCTACCGCCTGAGCTACCGTGAACGGTATATTTACGGTTGGTATATGTAAAGAAATAATGATATCAGTGCTTTAAATAAATGTACAATTTCAGTTTAATTCAGAAATGATAACAGATCAAATATTTTTTTAAGTACCGCTTATTTTCATTTGATATTTTAGAACAAGAAGTCGTGGTGCTCATTTTAATGTGCAGCCAATCAACAAGTAAGAATAAAGACTTATTTTTAAAAAAAAAATGACTGAGTATTTTTGATATTGAAACCGAATTTAAAAAAAATTGCTTCCCTTCAAATTACAAGTAAAAATGATACCTTGTCCTTGGATTTTTGAGTTTCAGCAAAACAGGACAAAAACCACAGCATCCACTGTATCCCATAGATAGTAGAAAACAGGGCCAATGACAGACAGCTTCCAGAATATTCCTGGAAATAATAGAAAAAAGTAAGAAAGTGAAATCAATATTACATAGATAGTAAAAAACAGGGCCAACGACAGAGGACTTCCGGAGTATCCCTCGTAATGACAGGGGGAAAAACCTGACAATTTAGTTAGATACAAATTCTATAGAAAGTAGGTTAACTAAGAAAATATTCTTGGAAATATATATATATATATATATATATATATATATATATATATATATATATATATATATATATATATATATATATATATATATATATATATATATATAGACTTGCATTTTTAATGGACCATTTGAAGAAGATAGTACAGGTGAATACTTTGATTTTTTTTTCTCTTGAGCTAGTGTTTGTGATTATGGATGTTGTACAGGCTCTTTAAGCCACCACGTGTGTCGGAAGATAATAATTCTTATTCAACCAGTTGGTTGCTTAAAAGTAAATTGCTAACATAGGAATAGCTGTTGTGAACTTTGTAACATTCTTAATCATAAAAAAGGTTTAGATTTGTATTCCAACATACTTCGAGTTGAAGTTAACACCCTGGATTTCCTAAGGTTATTCCAAAACTGTTGCTTTCAAACTTTTGAATTATAAATAAACCTTACAGTGCCTATATATTAAACATTTAAAACAAAATTCTCTTATGTGTTCTTGCTCTTTTTCTTCCTTTAACGACAGTCCCGATGGACATGTCAATACCGGAGATGTAATATAGTGAAAAATGGCAAAAAAGTAAACATCTTCAGGGTCCTAAATGCAGGGAGCTCCGATCAGTTAGCGACAAAACTTCATTTTTATTATGAATTCTGTTAAATGTTATGCCAGAATATTAAATATTAGAAACATAAACATGACAGAATACTGAAGAAGGGATTTAAGATCTTCATCCAGGATTATTTTGCCTGCTTCAATTTGTATATTTTCTAAATTGTCCAGTATAATATTGTATATTTAGAGTCTTTTTTGGAGCAAAAAATATATGAATATTTTAGAACATGTCTAATTAGAAAAAAAAAAATCTCAACAACAAGTCTTTTACGCGTAATCTTATACATAACATTTTGAGTACATTTTTTCATAGATTTACTGTATGTGCAATGTCCTCATAAGATTTCTTTTTTTGAAATAGAGACTTATGTGAATGTGAGATTTATACTGAATAATTTCTGACCCACGCTTTACACAATTTTACAGGAATTTATACATTTCCTTCTTAAATTGATGTCAACAGGCAATTTTTCCCGATCATTTATCCATATGCTGTAGATCAATAGTGAGAGATTGTCTTGTATTTGTGATATTATTGACTGAGAATTGCATATAAGGAAGTGTCATCAGCAATAGGTCATATATTATTAATGAAATCATCACATATATCCTAAACAAACAAAAGGATTAGGAATTGCCCCAATACAGAATGCTGAGGAAGGTATTTATTGTTTCAAGGGTTTGATGTAAACCCATCTGCAACTTTTTGTTGTCTCTCAGGTACTTCATTCTCATTCTAACCACTAATACATTACCACTAATTCTATAATTTTAAATTTAGATTAAAGAACTTTTTGCCTAACTTTATAAAATGCCCTTGAAATGACACAAAAATAAATCTTAAATCTTTTGTCCAGACTGGAAATTGAAATAATTATGCTATATATTTTTACCGGTTGATTAAAAGTATTACTCAGTTCCTCCATTATTCTTGGTCTATAATTTAATACCCCTTGAACACTACCTTCATTCTGGGAAATTACACAGAAAATAGAAAAATATGCATATTATCAAAACAAATATATTTTCCAATTAAATATTCGTCTGAGTATAAAATACTTAATTAATAATCACCAATCACCTACCACGTGTAAAGTTTAAGCGAATAATTATCACGTCTGTCTATGTAAACGAAAACATCATATTGTCAACTAATATGTGTTTTAGTTTTAGTTCAGTACCAAGAATAATGATCTCAGCTCATATATTTACACAGTGTATTTCAGATTTTGATATATTCATATATGTACTTACCGATAGGAGAATTCTGTGGTAGAGTGGGACAGTATTAATTACGATGGCCACAGTCCAGTAAATGAATAAAACCCCTGAAGTGACAAAGCCCTTCCATCGCTCCATATAAATGTAGAAACCCACCAAAACCTTTAAAAGAGAGAGAGAGAAAGCAAGATAAAAAGCATAGACAAAAATATTTGAGACACACAATTCCTTTCCATTCTTCTTTTTTTATACACAGTTACTTTTTTGAAAGAAAAAAAATGTAGATATGAATAAAAATATAATGTATAGATATGATTAAAAATATACAATGTATAGGAATTTCCTAATGTAGATTTTCAAAGTTATACTATCACAATCATATAAAAAAGAATAAAGAAAATTTATCTAATAGAATTGGCATGCTTAATTCACAAAAACTAGCAATATTAATTTTCAACTATATGTTATGGGCTTCAACTATGGATAACGATATTTATCTATATTTACCATCTCTATATTACATCTTAATGTATGATTGATAAACCAAATTTCACACATTGAAATCTATAATGCTTGGGTTATCTGAAAATGTCGTACTCTGACTTGTAAATTTTGGCTAACGATTCCATACTCGTTAAAATATGTTTACTACAGTGAACAACTCTAAAATATAGCTTGCATCTTTTAAAGGCTGCGATTTTACAAAAATTAGTACCTTTTTTAATTTTGGAAACTTACTTTAATTACTAATTTGACTTTCTATCGGAGACATGCATTTTTTATGTAAAAATATGATTCAAGACTCCTAAGTATAGTTTGTCATGTAAACACACTTGCTCAAACAAAACAGGTATTTTGGCATTAGGATACAATCGCTGTGTTATTAGTCCCCTACCGGTGAAACCGGAGGGGACTATAGGTTTCCTCTGAGTCTGTCTGTCTGTCTGTCTGTCCCTCTGTCTGTCTGTCAGTCTGTCCCACTTGGTTTTCCGCACTTTTTTCCTAAACGCTTGCAGATATTGAGCTGATTTTTGGTATTTGAGTGTATCTTGATGAGTTACAGATCAAGTTTGCATTTCGTTCCGCTTCATTGATTTTTGACGGAATTACGGCCTTTTCAATTTTTAGGGGTTTTCCGCAATTTTCTTCTAAACGCTTGCAGATATTGAGCTGATTTTTGGTATGTGGCTTTACCTTGATTAGTTACAGATCAAGTTTGCATTTCGTCCAGCTTCATTAATTTTTGACGGAATTATGGCATTTTCAATTCTTAACGGGAACGGAACCAGATTACACTTGCCGGTAGGGGACTAGTATTGCTAATGCAATACTCTCAGAATGCTTGTTATTGTAGGCATACTTAACCTGTCTAAAGATTTTACCAGTGTAATGATCTGCAGAGTACAGCTGAATACAGCTGTCTTCCATGTCAAATAATGAGACGCATCCTCAACTATCCACTCAACAATTAATAATACAATATTAATTGTCAGGAGTAACTGAAATATATCAACAATTAACACCATAGGTTTACTGTGAGAACGATCTGAAAAATAAACATACAGGTATATTCAGTAAAGTGCATATGAATATGATTTTCAGAAATATATGTATATAGTTTCATATTCGTTTATATAAATAAATCTTTTTCATAAATACTACGGAAAAATTTTAGTTTGAGAAAGTGCAATGATGCATGCCAATCTAACATACTCAATATTTGGTGTTTACCCACCCTCAACCCACCCCACCCCTTTTGGAAGCGTGAGGTGCTTAATGCATCCCAGATGAAGCATTTATGAGTGTTAATTGTCAATTCCTAAGTGTGAATAATGTCAAAGAACTGTGTAATCTAGGAAAATATATCTTATAAGCCTTTGAAATAAGAAACTATCAACAATCGCGATAGACCTGTCTTCTATGTATACTACCGTTCACGGTAGCTCAGTTGGTAGAGCGCTCGCTCCGTGATCGGGAGGTCGTGAGTTCGAATCTCGGCCGCGACTGACCTAAGTCGATAAAAAATGGGTAGCAACTGTTCCTTCGCCATGCGCTCGGCAATTTGTAGTGAAAGTTGCGGGTCCTTTGGATGAGACTTTAAAAACCGAGGCCCCGTGTCATGGCAGGCGTTGGCACGATAAAGATCCCTCACTGCTCAGTGGCCCTGAATGCCGAGTAAAGGTCAAAATTTCAAGCCCTTCACCGGTATATGGTGACGTCTCTATATGAGTGAAAAATTCTCGAATGATACGTTAAACAACATACAATCAATCAATCTACGTATACTTGATACGTGTATTTTATTAACTATATTTGTTAAAATTATTATTGTTGTATAATTTCTATCATGACCTTATAATTTGTTATCTATCAATTTCAAATACATGTACAATCGTTCCGTTCCTATGTTTATATAATTATACAAAATGTAACATGTCATAGAATGTTTATACTTTGCAAAAATAATAATAATAATAAAAAATAATAATAATAAAAATAATAACTGAAGAAATAGACAGATTACCAGTTTTGACCAGGTCTATACTGGCATTGGACAGCATTTTAAAATCTTTTTTTTTAAACTCTTGCAAGAAAAGAAATCACACTTTCAGCATCGGAAATGTTAATAATTTAAATACTCCTGATCACAGATTTTACTCATTATATAAATGGGTCTTTTCTTATTTTCTTTTTTCTTCGGGAGAGGGTTGGGGGAATGGGGGTAGCACTAATGAAAATTTACAAAAAAAGTGCCTAAGACGCAGAAAGAGCTTACAAATATGTACGACAATTTTCCTCGGAGAAAGTTTGTATGGTCAATCTTATCGAATTTCGCTTACCGTTTTTAAGATGATTCTCCAGCTTAGAGGATTTGGACTTGTTTTCTGTCTAATCAGGTAATACATATAGAAAGGAGAGACAATCCATATCCAGCCATGGATCACCCACACAGGAACAGAGGAAAGGAAGCAAGGAGAAAATAATGGCTTCTCCCCTCTTATAGTCAGGTTCCAGTCCTGCAATTACAAAAAGTCACACAAATTATTCTCCCTTTGTATGATATTTTCTTCAAGTCATGGCATGCATGAATGCAAAATGAGTATAACATAGCAAAAAAAAAAAAAAAAACAAAAAACAAAAAAAAAAAACCACTCGTTTTCTTCAATGTCATACTTTGATTCACTATAGCGAATAATACGCATTGTGCTTACTATGGAAAATGCTGATATTTTTACTTATTTGATGACTACTATAGAATTTTGATTTACTATACTTAGCTATAATCTAATTTTTACAGAAATCTACAGTACATCAACGTAAACCATAGTGGCGAACTCAAAGAGGGAATTTGATTTTTGCCAAGAGAGGCTATACATTTGCTATTTCCTGCAAATTTATTCTATAACTGTTTTATTATACCGAATCAATTTAAAGAGCGTACATATATTTATTAACCAAACCTCTCAGACATATTTTTTGAACAAAAAGGTATTCATTTAAACACCAAAACAACTACTAAAGTTTTATTCAATTTCCATTTAGTGATTTAATAGATATAAAGGGAAATGATAACATCCTACGATAGAGTTACTATCACAGATATTTAATGAATTATTTTTAAACAGTCAGCATTAAAGTAATTTATGACAGTCTTAACCAAATAAAAAGCTAAATAACAGCCACAAGTGTGAAACAGCTGCATAGAGTGATTTCTGTTCTGATCGGATTACTCCGTTTACCTCATCTAAACAGAAAGCTCACAGCTGTTATGACCATAAACTAAGAACAGACTTAAGTCAAAATTTTGATTATTAATATCTCGAGTTTTATTCAATGTAATTCCTTAAAAATTTGCAATTTGTATAACATTTAAATTCAAATATATAATGGAAATTTTGTTACATTGTCAAAATTATTCCATAAGTTATATTGGTTTGAAATTTTGTCTTGAGTCTTTTCTCAGTTTATGGTCTTAGAGCCAAGGGATGCTTACTCCTTTTAAGCACCTGATTCCACCTCTGGGGTTTCCAGGGGTCCAAGTTTTTTGCTTTGTTTTTTTTGCCATGTTAAAAATTCGTGTTTTCTTTAGATTTATGAGATTTATCATTGTTCATTACCTTCACCGTGTTCTCTTTTTATTGCTGTGACTAGGACTAATTTATTAACAACTGAATCATGTGCATCACATTGGGGATAGTGGCAAGAGTCTTAAATATATCATAACATCCCCTCTTTTTTACAGAATAGCAAATTCAAAATACGATTGATAAGAAATTTAGCAGTTATAGTCTTAAAAATGTTCTGAATGATAGGGAAAAAAACAACAGCAAATTATTGTCCACGGTCCATAAATGAGCACAACGTTGTTATGAAAAGAAAAAAAAATCATTAACATAAAAGATTAACTTGATCTACAACATATTTACAGTCTTGATGGAAAATAAATCTATTGGCACACATAGTCGGCAAGGTGTTTAGGTGGCACGATTGTTCTCTGGCTCCTTCGGACACTTGGCTGCAAAATCTGATTGTCCTTCACTGTTGGTCCTTTTGTTTTGTCAGGATTGCAGATGTCTTCCTGTGGATAGTCCACATGTAGGTCATCACGAGGTGGTACTTCTCTCGAGATGCTCAGGTCCCTGCGGTTTCTACGATACTGTGTTCCATCAATGTCTACTATGTATGAACGCGGTAAAGTGTGTTTTTGAATACATTTTCCATTTATCATCTCCGAGTCTGGTTGGTTTTACTCGGATGCAATCTCCTGTGCGCAGTTCGGGTAGTGGTCGTGCTCCTTTGTCATAATACCGTTTCGACTTCCGTCTCTTGATCTTGATCTTGGTTGGTACATGTTTAGGAATTTCTGGTTTAAGAAGCTGGTATGTGATCAGGAGAGATGCTCTTGTTCTTCTTGACATTAGCCCACGTCTTGAGTTGGGGTATTCCTCCAGTCTAATATGGCTCTCCAAAGGTCTTTCTTATCTTTCATTGATTTCTTGATGATCCCTTTTGCTATCTTCACGGCAGATTCCGCTTTTCCATTTGACTGGCTGTGGTAGGGTGAACTGGTAGCAAGTTCAAATTCCCATTCATCTGCAAAATTCCTAAATGTGTCATTTGTAAATTGCGGTCCATTGTCGCTTATGACAGTGTTTGGAATCCCGTGACGACTAAAGTGCTCCTTCAAACATTTGATGATGGTATCTGCTGAAGTAGAAGAGAGTTCGTTGAGTTCCCAGAAGTCAGAGTAGTAATCGACTGTAATGAGATAATCCTTGTCTCTGATCGACAATAGGTCAGTTCCTACTTTGCTCCATGGTAGCTTTGGTATCGGATGTATCATTAATGGTTCTTTGGTTTGTTTTGATTGGAATTCATTGCAGATGCTACCCTGTTGTATAATCTTTGATTTCGCTGTTCATTGCAGGCCAGTAGATAGAATATCGGGCTTTACGAAGGGAAGCTTCAACACCTTGGTGACTAGAATGTGCTTTGGACATCATCTTGGATCTCAGTAGTTTTGGAATAATGATTCTACAACCTTTGAATAGTACACAGTTCTGAACTGTAACTTCTTCTCTGTAGGTCCAATACTCCTTTGCTTCTGTTGGTACACTGTTTTTGTCGTTAGGCCACCCTTTTACTATGAGTGTTTTCAATGTCTGCAATGCATTGTCTGTCTCAGTGTATTTTCTGATTTCTTGCAGACTTTTGTTAGAAATGTTTATGGATTCTGTGCAGTCCATGTCATCCAGTTCTTTCATCAGCATTTCTTCTTTTTCAATCTTGAATATTTCATACTGAGATTATGTATTTGTTGTTTCTTGATTAGGCAGTGCAGCCCTTGAGAGAAAATCGGCAATTCTTTAGTAGTTCTTTATTTGTAGTTCTTTACCTCGCTTGTAGACTACATCTATATTGTACTTTTGTAGCCTAAGGAGCATTCTTTGCAGGCGTTTAGGTGCTGATAGAAGGGGTTTCTTGAAGATTGCCTCTAGGGCTTTGTGATCCGAGTGCACTGTGATTTTCTCTCGTCCATAGATGTACTGGTCGAACCTTTCACAAGCAAGTACAATGGCGAGGCATTCCTTTTCAATTTGTGCGTATCTTTGTTGTGTTTGTGTCATGGTTTTGGATGCAAATGCGACAGGTTGACCATTTTGTAAAAGTGTTGCTCCCAATTCACTTTCGCTGGCATCGCATTGTATTGTGACATCTGCTTCGATGTCGTAGTACTTTAGTACTGGGTAGTTTGTAACAAGCTCTTTCACTTTCTTGAACGCCTCCTCTTGTTTTGATTGCCATGCCCATTCATTGTTTACAAGACGTCTCAGGGGTTCGCAGACTTCAGAAATCATGGAGTAGAAATTTTGACAAATAGTTGACAAACCCAAGGAATCGTTGCACAGATTGTACATCATGAGGTTGAGGCATGTCTTGAATTGCTTTGACTTTTTCTGGATCCGGCTTTAATCTTTCCTTTGTCAACAAGTGTCCTGTATATGGCACTTCTTTGCAGCGTAGATTGAGCTTCTTTTATTAAGCTTTAAGTTAACTTTTCGTGCACGATTGAGAAGGTTTCGCAGGTTTTCGTCGTGGTCTTTTAATGCCTCTTCTTCTGAGTCTCCACAGCCGAAAACAAGTATGTCATCCACTATGACATCTACTCCTTTAAATCCATTGAGAGCATCATGCTGTCTTCGCTGATACTCTTCTGGCGCTGTAGATATTCCAAAGGGCATACGGATCCATCTGTATCTTCCGAATGGCGTCCAAAATGTCGTTAGAAAACTACTTTCCTTGTCTAGTTTTATTTGCCAAAATCCATCTTTAGCATCGAGTACTGAAAATACCTTAGCCTTGCTGAGGCGTGGTAGAATTTCTTCGATTGTCGGCATTGGATAATGCGAGCGCTTCAGTGCTTTATTTAGATCTTTGGGATCTGTACATATTCTAAGCTTATTTGGTTTCTTCACCGCAACCATGCTGCTTATCTATTCTGTTGGCTGTGTCACTTTAGCGATGACACCCAATTTCTCCGATTCCTGTATCTTTTCCTTTAATGCTCTTTTCAGTGGAGCAGCTACTCTTCGAGGCGAGTGTTGCAATGGAGTGATGGATTTATCAATTTCTAAGTGATACTCTCCTGGTAAACATCCTAGACCAGTGAAGACATCTTTATACTCGGTCAGTATTTGCTCTTTTGTAAGTTCTTTGTGTTTTGCTTTCCCAGTTACTGAATGTACGTTTTCATTCAGCTGAATGATTTTCATCTTTTCACAAGCTTCTGCTGACAATAGTGGGTACTGCTTAACATCTACGATTTGGAATTCGAGTTTGTACTGTTTTCCATTTAGCTCAACATTCACTACTGCCTGGCCAATGGGTTTCATTCGTGACCCATCATAGAGTGTCAGTTTTGAATTACTCTTTTGCATTGGTGGATCTCCATTTTGCGCAATAGTGCAAAAGTCCCTGTAGCTGATAAGGTTGCATGTTGAACCGGTGTCTATTTGGCGTTTCATTTCAGTTACATTTTTCTGTTCTGCAAGTTTCATTTTCATGTTGACAAACCATTGCTTTCCTGTGGACTGTACTGATCCAATGCTGTGTGTATCTTTAAAAGCTGAATCTTTAGAATAAGTGTCATCCTCAGAGTCGCTGTTGTCTTCGCCAACTAAATGCACTCTGCGTCTTCCAGGTTTTCTTTCTGTTGTTCTGATATCTGTTTTCTTAGAATTGCTTCGTAGCGTTTGTTTGCAGACTTTCGCAAAATGGTTCATCTTGTCACACTTGCTGCATTTCTTTCCATATGCTGGACATGCTGTTTTGCCTCTAGCATGATTTCCTCCACAGTATTTGCATTTCGAAGCATTTGGTTTTTGATTGTCAAATTTTCTTGCTTTTTCCGGCTTTCTTGAACTGTAGTGAATGCTTTCTTTTGTCCCTTCAGATTCTATCTTCTTAAGTTGTTGTTGTGCAACTTCACTGGCTCTACACGTGCTTATTGCTTTCTTGAGATCTAGCTTTGGTTCTCTTAGCATCCTTGCTCTTGTTGGGTTGTCATATATTTCCAGAACTAATCTGTCTCTTATCATATCATCTGTGAGGCTTCCAAACTCACAGGAGTCAGATAGTTGTCTTAGCTTTGTTATGTATTGGTCTAATGTTTCTCCTTGCTTTTGGTCAGTTGTGTTAAAGATGTATCTCTCATAAATCACGTTTACTTGTGGTTCAAAATGTTTTCTGATAGTTTCAAGTATGGTTTTTGTTTTCTTGCGGTCTTGCTCAGACATGCGAGATGTCTGTAAATTCTGTAGCAATCTTTGCCCATAATGCTCAGTAATGATGCAACTCTGATAGAGTCATCTTTCTCACAAAGTTGTGTAGCTATTTCATAGTTCTCCCATTGTGACTGGAAAAATTTCCAATTACTTTTGAGATCTCCCCTAACTTCCATTTTGTCTGGTACTGGGAAGTTTGATGCTGCCATGTTTTGATCATGTGATTTCTATTTTTCTCTCCTGCACGTGTGTGCCTACCATGTCTTATCTCTGCAGTTAGAGTCGTTTTCTGTTATCTTCTTTGATAATCAGTATGCCAGTATCAGACTCTTTAATAACAAGTCTGATGAAATTCACTAAAAGTCAGGGATATCAAAGTTTTCCTACCAGAGTTAAGAACATAAATCCTTCTCACTCAGTTCTTTCTTTGCAGTTCCCGCGTGATTGTTCTAGCATCACAAAATATCACTGCATGTACTCATATTTATCAAACAGTCATTTAGGCTTTCACAAACGTCTCGCTTGTCGCTTGTCCTCACTAAATGTGTGCGTAGGGTTTATGCTTATGAAATAAATCCTTTGCTATCTTGCAATGTTTGCTGTGAAGTCGGCACTTCTGACACCATGTTCTAAGACTAATTTATTAACAACTGAATCATGTGCATCACATTGGGGATAGTGTCAAGAGTCTTAAATATATCATAACACAATAGTGAATGTAAAATATTTTATTTATGTACATTCCTTCTTTTTATAAACCTTTATTTTGTAATTGCCTAATGATTATGTAATCTGATAAGCCTTATGGCTTATAAACAACAAACGCATATTTAGAAATGTAGCTGAAAAAGATATAATACGTATGCTCTCTAAGAATCGGCATGGCCTTCGCTGAATGGGTCTATTTATCATGATGTCAAGTGTTTGATTTGTTTATACTTTTCAGATTTCGTCAAGTCAGTAAGTGAATTTAGGGCAGTACATTTTTATGCAGTCATATTTTTTTTTCGTGTTTTTCTACAATGTGTCTACTTAACGATTCAAACAAATTACTTATATTTTACTTATCACCTTTGATTTTTTTTTTCCTTCATAATATGGGGTTTGCCGAATGTATTAAGATGTGATTTGAATTCGGCTTCAATCCTGTGTATTAAAAAATTGAAAAATTTAATTCTTAATTATGAATAGTATAAAATTGTATAGAATTCAGTGTGAATGTATCAAGACAATTTTTTCAACAGCCAGAAGCACTTCCATTTCTAAAGTTTTGCTAAAGTGACCCCTGCGTGAACTGCGTACAGTATTTTGTCTCAGGTAAATAATTATCGGTTTACTGATAGCATTTCAGAGACATGTTGATAATTCACAGGTAACATATTAAAATGTTGCATGCACATTTTGAACTATTATAGAGACGAGAAATATACACGTACCCAGAATAGAGTGTTGTTTCTGCAGAGTTCAGGCATGTCACTGTTCAACTTGAATTCAATATTCTTATCTATTATTTCTCTGAAGAAGAATTTTTATATTACTTTAGTATTTCCTTCTTGTTGTGCAATATACTTGCAAGTAAGGTAGCCCGTTTGTGTTGATATTGTATAATTGTCATTGGTTCGTTTGGCATCACGTGTCGAGGTATATAAATGCGGATAGACATGGACTATCTAATGATAATTTTTAACAAGAGGCCCAAGGACCTTAACAGTCACCTGAGTATAATACAACAATTTAGATGACCCACAGAGTACAAAATAAACTGATAGATGAAGATTTGTTGTCCAACAGCAAAAGAAATAGGATGATCAGGATCAATGAAATAATTAGTTTAGTATTCAGTAACAACTCATAAATTAAGTTCTAATTTCCCCATTTATCACTATCAACATGCAGACTATGAACAAACTATTTGTGCTTCTGTACTATTTTTAACCCCATATTATAGCTCCTTATATTGGCCTCTCTTGGTCTTTGAAGAATGTTTAATGAGTTATTTTTATCTCATTTTTATTTATCTATTAAGTACAAGTCTACTTGATCATTGAAACTAAGAAAGAACATTTTGCATTATACGATAAAAACTCTTGCATAATTTTCTTATTCTATTAACCTTTCAAACACTTTATTTACAGTGATTAATTATCAAAAGTGAATGGCAAAGGGGAACAACTTCTCTCAGTAGAATAAATAATAAATAGAGCCCTGCCCAGGACCAGAACACTTGACCAAATGGTTCAGATGTTAAAAAATCTGGTAAAAATACCCTTGCTTATTAAAACATTTACTCAGTGTTTGCCTCTGATATGCCCAGGAGCAGAGAAGAATTTTACAGAAACAATGTATTTTTACTACAGATTCAACATAACGCAACCCTAACACCAGAACTCATGACCCAGGGTCATAAAATTCACAAATTTGGAAGAGGTACCCTCATCATCTTAACTATGCACTTAGTAGAAGATTTTCAAAGAATCAACACATTTTCACTATATATATAAATATATATATATATATATATATATATATATATATATATATATATATATATATATATATATATATATATATATATATATATATATATATATATATATATATAAATTATCAATAGCCCCCCCCCCCCGAAACACCAGTACCTCTGACCCTCGGACCACACAAGTTTTAAAAATTTTGTAAGAAGCACCCTTGTTCATCATAACTATGCACTTTGTTTATCTGCTCAACACTATAAGGAGCAGACAGGACTATTTAACACAATTAATGCATTTTCACTAAATTATTAATAGAGCATTACCCTTACACCAGAACATCTGACCCAGGGGCAATGCAACTCATAATTCTGGAGGAAACACTCTTGCTCATCATAACTATACATTTAGTTTCTTTGCTTTATAACCAGGAGCAGAAAAGAATATTTTCAAAGAAATTATGCCGTTTCACTACATAATCAATAGACCCCCCTCCTTTCACCAGAACCCTCGACCCTGGGGCCATGAATTTCAAAATTTTGGAAGAGGCATCCTTGCTTATCATAACCATGTACTTAGTTTGTTCAAATAATACCCAGGAGCAGGGAAGAAATTTTCAAAGAATTAATGCATTTTCACTATATAATCAATACAGCCCCGCCCTTACACCAGAACCCATGACCCAGGGGCCATGAAATTCACAATTATGAAAAAGGCAGCTTTGCTCATCATAACTATGTATTTAGTTTGTTTAATACCCAGGAGCAGAGAGCAGAGATATTCAAAGAATTAATGCATTTTCACTATAATCAATAGAGCCCCACCCTAACACCAGAACCTTTGACCCAGGGGCCATGAAATTCACAATTTTGGAATTGGCAGTCTTGCTGATCATAACTGTGTACTTAGTTACTTTGTTTAATACCCAGGAGAAAAGAAGAAGATATTTAAAGAATTAATGCATTTTTTTACTATTTAAACAATAGAGCCCTGCCCCAACACCAGAACCCTTGACCGAGGGGCCATGAAATTTACAATTTTAAAAGAGGCATCCTTGCTCATCATAACTATGTACTTAGTTTGTTTGTTTAATACCCAGGAGCAGAGAAGAATATTTTCAAAGAATTAATGCATTTTCACTATATAATCAATACCCTCCCCCCTCCCCCCCCAACATCAGAACCCTCGCCCTAAGGGACATGAAATTCACAATTTTCGAAGAGGCAGTCTTGTTCATCATAACTATGTATTAGATACTTTGTTTAATACCCCGGAGCAGAGAAGATTTAAAAAAAAAAAATGGATTTTCACTAGATGATTTATATAGCCCCACCCTAGCACCAGAACCCCTGACCCTGGGGCCATGATTTCCCAATATTGGTAGAGGACTCAATGGTTATCACAATCATGCCAACAGTATGACTGCTTGATGTCCAGGAGTAAAGAAGAAGATTTTTAAAGATTGCATTAATTTTGGTGGTTTTAGCCCCACCCCTGGGGCCCCAGGGGGGCAGGGAAGGGACCATGAAATTCACAATTTCTGTTTCCCTTCACCCATAGATGCTATATGTCAAATTTGGTTAAAGTGGTTCAGCGGTTCCAGAGAAGAAGTTGAAAATGTTCAAATGTTAACGCACCACGACAGACAAAAACGGATAGCAATAGGTCAACTGAGTGACTCAGGTAACCTAAAAGCTCGGATAGACCCGGAGCTTCTAAAAACAGATACAGCAATTCCTCTTTGTAATTGTGACGTCATAATGGGTATGACGTAACAATGCCCTAGGTGTTTATCTACTGTACATTGATAACATAAATGTTTAATATATCAAGCATAAATTTGTACAAAAAATCATAAATAACATTAGCATTTAATTTTTATTTTACATTCATTCAGTATGAAAGATACACAGTGTCATTAAAATATCTTACTTTGTTTTGATGTCTAGTGTCTATGTGTTAAAAGAGAGATGAAAACTTTATTCTTTTTTCAAATTAAATTTGTTTTTTAATCTTTTTAAAAAAATAAAATAACAAATGTAGCCCTTTCATTCGGTCAATCCATAGATATATCGACTTCACAGAAAAGCATATCGACCTCGCAATTTGTGCTCGGTTGATATGCTTTTCTGTGAAGTCGATATATCTATGGATCGACCTCATGAAAGGGCTTTATTTGTATTTTATATATATATATATATATATATATATATATATATATATATATATATATATATATATATATATATATATATATATATATATATATATATATATATATATATATATATATATATATATCCGGTGCCATACACAGTTGCGTGTATGAAAGTGTATTAAATTTCACTTAAAGGTTTAAATTTTTGCTTGATAATTGAAATAATTTCTCAATAGCATAGCTCAAAATACCACATTTTCCTCTGGAAAAACGAAAAATGGGAAAGTACTCTATTTTTTTTATTTTTAAACATATTTGATACTCTTGCAATCAGTGTTCATGGATAATAATTGATTTAGTTTCTCCACAATACATGGGCTACTTGATGTTAAATCATTTAATACACTTTCATGTCCGAGTCTGATGAAGTCATTTAATGAAATACCTTAATTTTTTTTTTTTTTTTTTTTTTTTTTTTTTTTTTTTTTTTTGCATTTGTAGTTTTTCGACCTGTCATCCAATTTTTTTTCTTCTAAAGAGCTAAAGATTCGCATGTTTGAACATGTAAATCATAATGCAGTTTAGAAAGTTTTGTATATTGATTTCTTAAGTTATCATAATTTAGATGGAAATGGATATATGTCCGACTTAAATGATGCACATTTTTTAAAAACCTTCTTTATATGAGTATTTCACATAATTTTATGAAATTTATAGATACTGAAAAAAATTGCATGACTATTTTTTAAATAAATATCTTCTTCATTTGCACAGAAAAGTATTTTGAAATTTTCAATACTTTTTTTTATTTACTTGAAAATATTTACAAATCTATTAATTTCTTTAAACTACAAGAAAACAGATATTGAGGCCAGAGACATCTTAACACACTGGAAAAAGAGAAGGGGGATGGCGGCGGTGGATTAAATCCAAGAAATCATGAAATATAACTAGATTAGTCAAGTCCTAGTGTGAAATTTTGAGCATCCGATAAATTTGACAATATGAGAAATATTCCCACAAGCGGAAATCGTTAACTTATTTCGCATGCACATCCACTTTCATTTCCAAGAAAGAAACAGTTACAGTATACCTTGTAGAGGGTAATAAAAATGCAACCCAGTACAAAAAAGTGGCTGAAGATAGTTTATTTTATAATGACAGCATTTTTGGCCAGTTCATGAAACAGACTCTTAGTGTCGGCCATCAGATTCTGTGGTGTGTCTGATTCCAGTAGACGACCATTGTCAAGAACCAAAATTCTATTTTAAAAAAAACACATACAATTTATATAACTTGAGCAAATCTGTCCACTGTAAAATGTTTTTTATCATTCTATATTTGAAGAAAACACTTCAGAAAGTAAAATATATCATGATATTTATCATCCTCTATTCATGAGATAGTGTACAATGTATATATTTACTTTTGACAAATAATGGACATTCGCACTGATCGTGCATGTCGAACACTATGTTGCAATAAGACCTAAATTAATTTAGGAAATGTAATTAAGTAAACACTAATTATATACATTTATATACAAGTATAAACCAAATATTGAACAATCATAAATTCCTTTCCTTTACCATAATAACTTCAAAAGAAATTTATGGCCAAGTAATATACTCGAACATGTTTTAATAATCTAGACTCTTTGACCTTTATCATTAATAGTATAGTCCTTTATTTGGAGTAAATTTTATGGAATCCTCTTAAGATACTGTTTTATACCTGTCGTAGTCCATCACTGTGTTGATCCTGTGTGCGATGGTCAGTACTGTACATTCCCGGAATTCTTCACGTATCGTCCTCTGTATCAGATCATCTGTCTCCAGGTCTACAGCAGCGGTGGCTTCATCCAGAATCAGAATTTTTGTTTTCCTCAACAGAGACC